CGGCTCAATACACTCTCAAGATGTATCTCCCAAAAAGAAGGCTAAGACAAACTCCTGCACAGGATGTGGATGTGCAAAAACCTATGTCTACCATGTATGGAAGAAGAAACTGAAAGAAGCTCTTCCAGAAAGTCACCTCAGAGAGAGCTCAAAGAATGGATATCCAATGCTATTACAGAAGGATTCCAGTCTACTTCTGCCAAATCAGCTAAGAGACCCAAACACCGATTGAAGTTTCTTCAGAATCCAGTTCAGATCAAGAGGTCCAAAAATACTATTATTGGGAGGAGGAAGAAGAGGTGAAAACTTGGAGAAGATCTATTGATTCCAGATCAGTAGGGAAACTGATAGCAGTAGTAAGAGAAACACTCAAGATACTGTAACGATCAGAGATGGAAGCCTCTAAAATCCAACAAACCACCATTTCATGTACACATTACAATAAGTGACCTAATCCTCAATGAATGATCAAAACCTTAAAAATTATTGTCCGTCGAAGGGAAATTATCTAGAATATACCCCTTCAACAACAAAGAATGCAAGACCTGGAATGTGGTCCCTAAAATTGATTCTGCAGTCATTAGACTAGAGAAAAAGACCACTCTACCTACTGATAGCATGGAATACTTAAAGGAGTCAATCGAAAATGTCTGGATGCCAACTTACTCAAAGCCTATTTGGCCTTAGGATAGGACTATATCCAGCATACGGTGATGAGAGCACTTAAGGTTTTAATTGCAAACCTGGAAGAAGATACTGAAGGTGGAGTAAATGGGAAAACTTGCTGGATTCTCTGAAAGAAGTGCAAATGGCTACAGACTTTTGTTTAGAAACTTTCCTGGATCTATCCAAAATAGTGGCTAAGGGTATGGCACTTTTAGTAGCATCTAGGAGAGCCAGCGGTGTAGATTATGCTTCAAAAGCAAGCCTGTGTGCTCTTCCTTTTCAAGGGAATACATTTTATGGAAAAGTGTTTGATGACTCAATCCAAAAAGCAGTGGAAGGGAAAAAAAAGCCCTTTTTTCCGCAAGAAAGGGCGGTATAAGCGAAACAGAGATCATTCCTTTGAAGAAACAAGTCGTATAGACTGAGTAAAGAATATATCAGAACTACTTCTTTGAGATCCTTTCAGCCCATCTCAACTAAGTTTATTAGAAGAAGAGGACAGAGAACCTGTTCCAAGCTTTTATGAAGTTGTGATGGCATAGATAACATAAGTAGGGGGTCGTGTCTGATTCTTCTATCACATCTGGGTCATATCCATTTCAGACAGTTGGGTTCTTACAATCCTCAAAGAAACTGGGATTTGAAGAATATCCAATTTCAGGAAGGTTTCTAAGATCAAGAATGAAAACAACAGCGATGAAGGATTGTATAGAGACACTTCTAAGTCAAGGTGTTATAACCAAAGTGCCTGTGACAGAACATGTTACTTTATTGTCTTTTTGGCACCAAAGCAAAATGACGACTCATCCTACATCTGAAGTGCATAAACATATTTTTTTCAAAAGAAGATGTTCAAGATGAAATCTTTGGCAATGATCAAATCTGCACTACACAAAGGTGATTGGCTAACATCCATAGATCTAAAGGATGCATAGTATCACATTCCGATACAGCACACACATCAAATTCCTTCGCTTCCAAATCCTTGCAAAACAAGGTCTTTCTTTTTGTCTCAACTTGGCCCCAAAGACTTTTTCGAAAGTCCTTATCTCTCTAGAGGCGGTCGTGCGAAAGCAAGGAATCCAAATATATTACTACTTAGACAATATTATGATTATAGCTGATTATAGCTCAGACTCTATTCAGAGTGATTCAGGATACAAGATGGGTGATCCAATTCTTAAAAGAGCATGGGTCGAATTTGAATATGGAGAAAATAAATACTGTCCACTCCAACTCTATCATATTCCTAGGAGCAGAGGTGAGAGTGGTGGTCGCAGTGGTGAGAGTGAACTCTAGCTCCAGGGCTAGAGTTCACCCTCGTGAGAGCCAGAGCGTTGCCGTGGTAACTGCGGCAACGCTCTGTGCTCACGCGAGAAGGACCCAGGGGAGCTGCAGGTTGAGCTCCCGGGTCCTCTCTTCCTCCCTCCCCGTTCCGCAGGCACCGTGCGAGCAGGGGAAAACCTCGTGGGGGGGGGGAATTGCCCCGTTCCCCTCTGTCTCTTTCTCCTCCCTCCACCATCTCTCTATTCCTCCTCTTTCTTCCCCTCTGTCTCTTTCTCCCCCCTTTCCCTGTGTCTCTCCCTCCTCCAAATCTCTTTTCCCCTCTGTCTCTTTCTCCTCCCTCCACCATCTCTCTATTCCTCCTCTTTCTCCCCCTCTGTCTCTTTCTCCCCCCTTCCCCTGTGTCTCTCCCTCCTCCAAATCTCTCTTCCCCTCTCTCTTTCTCCTACCTCTACCATCTCTCGATTCCTCCTCTTTTTCCCCCTCTGTCTCTTTCTCCACCCTTTCCCTGTGTCTCTCCCTCCTCCAAATCTCTTTTCCCCTCTGTCTCTTTCTCCTCCCTCCACCATCTCTCTGTTCCTCCTCTTTCTCCCCCTCGGTCTCTTTCTCCTCCCTCTACCATCTCTCTGTTCCTCCTCTTTCTCCCCCTCGGTCTCTTTCTCCTCCCTCCACCATCTCTCTATTCCTCCTCTTTCTCCCCCTCGGTCTCCTTCTCCTCCCTCCACCATCTCTCTTTTCCTCCTCTTTCTCCCCCTCTATCTCTTTCTCCCTCCTTCCCCTGTGTCTATTCCCCCCCATTTACCTAGAGAAGTTAGGGGGGCCGGCCGCTTTCCAGGCTGGAGCCACCGGGCCGCGTGGCAGCCTCGCCGGTCCGGCGGCACTGCTGTCACTGATGATGCTGGGGGCTGAGGAAGGAGGAGCATGTCTATCTACCATGCTCCCTCGCGGTTCCCACAATCCCCAGCACAGTATGATGTATCAGTATACTGTGCTGGGGATTGTGGGAACCGCGAGGGAGCATGGTAGATAGACATGCTCCTCCTCCCTCAGCCCCCAGCATCATCAGTGACAGCAGTGCCGCCAGACCGGCGAGGCTGCCACCCGGCCCGGCGGCTCCAGCCTGAGTGTGCCACCGGACCGGCCACCCGGTGGCGCCTATATGCGCGTCCCCCAGGTGCCGCGGCCCACCGGGAAATTTCACGGTATCCCAGTGGGCTTGTCCGGCCCTGTGTATTATGGAGCAGTGTGTGTGTCTGTATATGCAGCTGTGGGTCAACAGACAGGGAGGACAGCAGCTTTCCATGCAGGCATAAAGTACAGTTAGGTGTAAAATATATTTTGTGGACTAATCAAGTTAAATGCTGCCCTGTAAGTGACCATCTTCTGTGGGAGCCAGTAAGTCTATCTACTACAGCAAAGGAGATGTAGCCAGAGATTTCTTTCAAGGGACAGTGATAACCTATTGTTGCCAGGGTATAGTAGCATGGAGGAGGGGGGAGGGGGTAACTAGTGTAGTTTTTTTCCTGTGCTCTGTTCTGTATTCCCATTCACATTTTTCTACAATGTTTTTTTTTTTTTACTGTATGCTGTGATCTATGTAAGTTGGATCTATATACAATAAACACTACAGAGTCTGAATTCTGTTGAGTTGCCAAGAAAGAAGCTGGTTTGTCTTTTCCTTGAGGTCTCACAAGATGTGGCTATTCATTGTTCTCTATAGAGTAAATACTAATAAAAGTATTAACATAGAAACATAGAAACATAGAATGTGACGACAGATAAGAACCATTCGGCCCATCTAGTCTGCCCAATTTTCTAAAAACTTTCATTAGTCCCTAGCCTTATCTTATAGTTAGGATAGCCTTATGCCTATCCCATGCATGCTGAAACTCCTTTACTGTGTTAACCTCTACCACTTCAGCTGGAAGGCTATTCCATGCATCCACTACCCTCTCAGTAAAGTAATACTTCCTAATATTATTTTTAAACCTTTGTCCCTCTAATTTAAGACTATGTCCTCTTGTTGTGGTAGTTTTTCTTCTTTTAAATATAGTCTCCTCCTTTACTGTGTTGATTCCCTTTATATATTTAAATGTTTCTATCATATCCCCCCTGTCTCGTCTTTCCTCCAAGCTATACATGTTAAGATCCTTTAACCTTTCCTGGTAAGTTTTATCCCGCAATCCATGAACCAGTTTAGTAGCCCTTCTCTGAACCCTCTCTAAGGTATCAATATCCTTCTGAAGATACGGTCTCCAGTACTGTGTACAATACTCCAAGTGAGGTCTCACCAGTGTTCTGTACAATGGCATGAGCACTTCCCTCTTTCTACTGCTAATACCTCTCCCTATACAACCAAGCATTCTGCTAGCATTTCCTGCTGCTCTATTACATTGTCTGCCTACCTTTAAGTCATCAGAAATAATCACCCCTAAATCCCTTTCCTCATATGTTGAGGTTAGGACTCTATCAAATATTCTGTACTCTGCCCTTGGGTTTTTACGTCCAAGATGCATTATCTTGCACTTATCCACATTAAATGTCAGTTGCCACAATTCTGACCATTTTTCTAGTTTACCTAAATCATTTGTCATTTGGCTTATCCCACCTGGAACATCAACCCTGTTACATATCTTAGTATCATCAGCAAAAAGACATACCTTACCATCAAGACCTTCTGCAATATATTGCCAGAAGATTGGATGGATAGAATATCATATAGTAACCAGATATCCGCTCAGTATATCCTGCGTACGCTACCAAAGAGGAGTCTTAGCATTTAGTGGAGCAGTTAAGTGGTGCAAGTTATGTAAAAAAAAATACCCGAGGACGATATAAGGCCGTAATGTCACACTTCATAACAGCATTCTGGAGGCCATTGCCTAGGCAAGACGTATTGCTGAATTACACATATTATGATCTGCATCAAGACAGGACTATTCTTCGTCCTTCTCTGGAGTTTCTACCCAAGGTTATTTTTCATTTACATATTCTTCAGGATATACCTTCCACTCCTGAAGCGGAATCCTCAAGCAAACTGGATGTTAGAAGGTGTCTCCAGAATTATCTGAAGCGATTCAAGATCTATAGCAAGTCAACTAAGCTGTTTGTTCTTCTGTTGGGCAACAGGAGGGGAGAAGCTGATTTAAAAGCCACTTTGAGACATTGGATTTCCTTGGCCAGTTCTAAATCTTATACACGACATTTGATGATACCACCTCCAGTTTCTATCAGGGCTCCTTTTAGGGATGACCGCATCTTGGGTTTTAGCAACAGAGGTTCCTTTAAATGAATTCTGTAGGGCAGCTATTTTGTCTTCTCCTTTGACTTTCATTAAGCACTATAAATTGGATGTAGCACGTTCATTGTGCTCCATCCCAGCGTTGTATTTAGCACGAGGCTGACAAGGCATTTGCCTTGGGCGGCACATTCAAGGCCGACCCCCAAACGCCCTGGCAAATGCTTTGTCAGCCTCTTGCCCTGGGGGACCAGAGAGCTGTCCGGCTGTTTACCTCAGGCACCCCAAGGCTGGCATGTGTATATATAGGAGGCAAGTGGCGAGGGAGCACTCTCCTGAGCTCTTCCTGCTCAGCTCCCTTGCGTGCACCGCAGTGATGCCGGAGCCAGAATATGATGTAATTCCGGCTCTGGCATCACTGAGAGGCGCGTGAAAGGAGCTGAGCCGGAAGATCAGTGCTCCCTCGCCACCTGCCTCCACTGCTCACCGTGTGAATGCCCGCCAGTCGAGCTGCAGCCAGCCCAACTGGACCACAGGGAAAAATCCACCCCAAAAAAATTGTGAGTGTGCTAGTGTGTGTTTGTTAGTGAGTGTATCTGTTAGTGAGAGTGTGTGTCTGTCAAAGAGTGTGAGTGTGTCACTCAGAGTGTATATGTGTTTGTCAGTGAGTGGGTATGTGTGTGTCATTGAGAGTGTATATGTGTTTGTCAGTGAGTGTATCCCCGTCGTGTCTGTCAGTGACTGTGTATGTCTGTCAGTGTGTGTCTGTCAGTGAATGTGTTTGTCTGACAAATGTTTGTCAGTGAGTATACATGTGTCGCATTGTGTGTGTGTGACACTGAGTGTGCATCTGTCAGTAAGTATGCATGCATGTCTTGTCAGTTAATGTGTGTATATGCCTGTCAGTTAATGTATATGTGTGTCTGTCTAACTGTGAATGAGTGCGTGTGTATGTCTGTCAATGTGTATGTGTCAGTGAAAGTGTGTGTTGGTTAAACAGTGTGTGTGACAATGACTGTGTATCTGTAAGTGAGTGTATGCATGCATCAGTGAGGGTATGTGTCTGTCAGGAGGAGAAATTTGGAAGGGGGGATAGGTGCCTGAGTTAGTCATGCTAGGGCAGCACAAAACCAGAATACACCACTGCTCCCTCCATTCTGTTTTGTCTTGATATGGAACTTGGAAAGAGACTGAGGGATGCTGGCTTATATGGATTATGTTTTAATGCTAAAGCATACTTCCTGTCCTGACACCAGAGAGGCAGAGCTAATCAGGGCCAGACTGGCCCACCGGGATACCGGGAAATTTCCTGGTGGGCCACGGCACCAGGGGCTGGGCTGACAGCCCTAATCATCACTAATGAGGCTCCTGTTATAGCGGCCTGCCATGTGTGAGCATACCGGGAAATTTCCTGGTGGGCCACGGCACCAGAGGGTGCCAGGCGGCTGACACAGCTCGCACGTGGCCGGCCGGGATTATAAAAAAACAACACATTATTGTGGCAGGGCGGGGCTTAGCATATGGCAGGGGTGGAGCTTGCTGTGTGGCAGGAGCAGGGCTAAATGACCCGGGTAACTGCAGCATGGGAAGCATGAAGGAGTTCCTGCTTCCCCAAAACCAGTCTCCAGGAGCTCCAAGGGATGTGGAGGTAAGAGGTTTGGTGTGTGACTGTCTGCCTGTGAGCAGGGCCGCCATCAGGGGTTGACAAACATGACGGTTGTCACGGGCCCGGCTGCCTGGGCCCCAAGTGGAGCGGCGGAACTGCCGCCGGTGCATCTGCACCGGGGCCCAGACGCTGATGGGACCCATCAGGTGGCCCAAGCATTTAGGGCCATCCTATTATCTTCAGGGGCCCGGTCAGCGCTGTAATAGCGCGACCGGGCCCCTTTAAAAAAAAATTCAGCCGCAACGCAAGTGCTGCTGGGAGGAAGTGACGGCCGGTCACTTCCTCCCAGCTTACTCCACGTGGGAAGGAGGACGCAGCCTGAAAGCCAAGAGGAGAGGCAGCCGACGCCCATCATCCCTAGCTACCCTCCTGGAATGCAAAGGTAAGGAAAAGGAGGGTGGCTTAAAAATGAATTGTATGCCTGTATGTGTGTGTATGTATGCCAGTATGTGTATGTATGTATGCCAGTATGTGTGTGTGTGTATATATGTATGCATGTATGCCAGTGTGTATATATGTCTGTCAGTATGTATGTATGTCTGTCTGCATGTATATGTGTGTGTGTCAGTATGTGTGTGTATGTATGCCTGCATGTATGTATGCCAGTATGTGTCTGTCAGTATGTAAATGTCAGTATGTATGTTTGCATGTATATGTGAGTATTAATGTATGTCAGTGTCTGTGTATCTGTATCTCCTTATGCATGTTACTGTCATGATCTTGTGCAGGTCAGATAGGAGACTTATGCCAGGGTTGTTATATGAGACTTTATTTGTGCTTTTAGACATATTATGCAAATTGAGGAAAAACAGACTTTAGGCAATATGCCACAAAACAGGATACTTGCAAATAAAGAAAGTCTCTGATCTCCAGGTAGGTTTGAAACAAAGGCAGGTTGGTATCAACAGCAGGTTGGTTACAGAGGCAGGCTGGTAACAGTAGAAGGCTGATAACAGAGGCAGGTTTGTAACACAGGAAAGCTGGTAATAGAGGCAGAGGTCAAAATCACACGTGAGAGTGGAGCACTTTTGAATATATAATTTGAATATATAAGCTATATAAGGCTTGCCTTGACGTGGCTGGTGAGCTTATATATTCAAATGGCCATTAGAATAAAACTAAAGAGCCTCCATTTTGTTTAAATGCACACGGGGATTTAGGCCAGAGCGCAGGTAACGTTTTCTTTGTTTTTACTATGTATTTTAAGCTGTTGGATACTAAGCCACTGCTGCTGTAAGCGCGGTGCTTTATCTTTGTGTTTGAGGATGATAAGGTGACTAGTGGCTAAGGAGGCCACTAGTGGTGGAGAGCTGTAACGTCTTTTAAAGGAACAGAAACAAAAGGAAGATAAATCATAGTTGTCAGGATACGATCCTGATACTTACCTTTACCCAGCGCTGGGCTACCCCTTGGCGCTGGTCGCCTCTCCTCCCCCTCCGACATCAGTTCCTGAGTAGAGCCGAATGTGCATGCACGACCAGAGCCATGCTTTCCTATGGACGTTCTGCGTGCTCAATGCGATTTTCGCATTGAGCGTCAGGGAAGCGCCTCTAGCGGCTGTCAGAAAGACAGCCACTAGAGACTGGATTAACCCTGCAATGTAAACATAGTTTCTCTGAAACTGCTATGTTTACATCTGAAGGGTTTAAACCTGGGGGACCTGACACCCAGACCACTTCATTGAGCTGAAATGGTCTGGGTGACTATAGTGGTCCTTTAATTAACTGGAAATAAGATAAGAGTTAGTGCTCTTTCCCCTTATCCTACTACTCGCTCTTCTACTTCTCTCTTTTCTCTACCATACTAATAATGAGCTGAGCTGTACTGGAGACTATGCTCTACCAATCTAACAGGGCATACAACTACGCACTAACAATTCTGATACAATACACTATGCCCGGTCTTACATTTAAAGGTTATTTAACAGGCTACTCTATCGTTGACTATGTTAGTTCATTTCCCTTTAATTAAAATTATAATTTACTTGACGGCTGGAAAACTGAATATGACTCGGAAGCAATAAACTGCAGAAGAAGGATATACTTTGTGTTTCCATGTATACAATGTACCTTATATGTCAAGTCTGTTAATGAAATGTGATAATAAAAATGTGATAACTGTCCGAAGTCATTGTCCTTTGCCGATGTAATATGTACCAGCGGTCAAACCAAAAGTAAAGAATAAAAAAATAAAATAAAAATAAAGATAAGTCTTAGTGTCCATTTAAGAAATTTCCAATAAATAAACAACCACTTTTATTAAAAATTTACTCTTGTCAGAGTTTTTATTTTTAATATATTTGCAGCACAATGAAAACTTTTGATATTTTCTGTTTATATCACTATGCTTTAACACAGAAACTTACTTTCTTACCATCTTGTTGCTGTTGGGCATTACATGAAAAGAGTTGTCTGGAAGGAAGAGTAGTTTATTTGTTGCTGAAGGGAAGTTAGTTATGCACGTATACCTCTTGCGAATAACTAGCTGGCCTCACTATGAATATGGCATACAACCGGGCAACACTTTTCATGCAACACCAAACAACACTAAGCAATAAAAGAAATGCCAGTACGTTTGATTTGCAATCCTACAAAATGTAAGTTGCTTTAGTTGGATAGAAACAGACTGGTGCAAAGGCTTAAAAATTCACGGACTGCATCCTTAATGCAGTGTATAGTTCAGACAACTTGTGATATGTTAGATGTTGTGCTGTTAAAATATATTTTTTCTCCAGTTGCACCTCCATATTGCAACTGGATTGTGCAAACTTTAGCCACTTGAAGGATTGAAGGATACATTCGAGCTAGCCACTTCTGTACTGGGAGAAAAAAATATATACTATACACTCTAACAGGGTTATTTACTAAAGTGAGAATGTATGGTGAATTCAACGCACATTTCAATTTTAAGGTCAAAATAGCTGAAATGGAAAAATTCTCTAAGTCAGCGAAGCTCTCTATTTAGCTACTCTGGACTTTAAATAGAAATTTACTTGAATTCACCATGAATTCTCAATTAAGTAAGTGGTCCTGTATCGCTCAAATACACACACAAGTCTTGATATGAATATTTTCATTCCTACACCATATAAAATAACTGTTTATTTATTAGTCAAATTATTTCTGAACTGTTTTTGAAATTGTAAAGGGCACTTCCATTTACTCCCTGAATAAAAAAAAAACTTGAATCTTTACTTGATATGAAAGTAACAGAAAATTCATTAAACATTCCTAATACTTGTTGTCAGTGCTAAATAAGGCCTGACCATACTAATTACCCAGAACCCATCTGACCATTTACATCACAGTCAACTACCCCATCCCCCTCATTCAAACACTCACACACATACACGCGCATGTACGGTTTGTATAGAATAAAAAAAATCTTGCATGGCTTGTCTATTGACAGAACATACATAAATATGATGACTTATATGCTGTGCTGCTTATTACTGACATTTACAAATTATAGAAAATTGGGAATATAGAGTTGGTGTCCATTTCATGATTTTAGGGTACTTTTCAACTTACCAAACATCTTTTTCTGAATTTCAGAATTGAAACAGAAACGGATAATTCTAATGAATTCACATTTATGCCAATTCTTAAAATATACAAGCCATTTAGCATCCATTGTTAATTTTCCCCCCACATTTCCATGGGTCTCAAACTTTTTAGACTGTCCTGTTAATGCATTCACAGTGCATAAAGACACACACATTTTGGCAACACTCTGTAATATTTTAAAGTTCGTCATGTTTCTCTTTATCCTCTTGGTCCTTCAGTTTGAACTCCTCTTCGGTGATCTTGCCATCCTCATTTCGATCCTGATTTCTGAACATATTCTCTATGATTTTAGAGGCATCAAATCCCGGAGCCAGTTTTCCTTTACCAGCTTCAACTTGAGTATAAATGTACTCCGAAAACTGCAGAAACAATTGTTAGGATTATATCATTTTAGATGAGATGTTTCAAAGAAAGAGTGAAACAAAGCAAATATTTGCTTTGACATCTTTATCTATGTTATTGTCAACCCTTTATCACAATGTAATAAGGTGCAGTTCAACCTAATATGCTAACAATGTTAATATTGCTATTGAATTTAAATACAATGATTCATAATTGCAGAGGAACCAGCATAAAATATGTTATAAGCTTGTTGTTGGGTCTATCTATTTCTATTGTACATGAACATTTAAAAGTATATTGCTGTGTCTATAACACCTACAATTTGCACATTATCTAAATGTTATACAGTGTTCTGGAAACATTCAATATATGTTAAATAACATTACTTAAAATGCAATTATTATACTAAGGGTGCACAGAGCTGTACAATGGATAGTTACCTCCTCTAATTGAACTTCCCCGTTTTTATCTTTGTCAATGTCTTCAAAGAGGTTGGGAGATACCTCTCCATTCCATATAAACATGTATCCTTCGGGAAGCCCAGGAACCAATTCTAATAATTCAATATCAAAGACTAAAACTGCACTTCCAGGAACTTCTCCATCTGTAAATATACAAGCAAACATTGAATTATGTAAATATATATATATATATATATATATATATATAAAAATATATAAGTATCATGAATTTTAAAGGGTTACTCCAGGATTACTTCTGCTATTTAAAATGGTCATGGATGAAGGAATCTGGCAATGCAGTGTTTCTGCTTGAAGCTGTACTTATTTTAAATAAAATAAGGTGATTCTTACTTATCCCACTTGTCACAGACTTGTGAGGTTTATATTCATGTTCACTATGAAATGCCTTTGATTGGACCTTGCTCCGGTGACATCATAAGGTGGCATGGAAAGCAGCGTTTTCAGTATTTTTTTTAGGGGGTACTTAAAGATTAATTCCAACAAGGGCACTATTGAAGAAAAAAAGGGTTGGAGTAACCCTTTAATGTCACAGAGTCCTTGGGCTACACTGCATGAAAGAGGTAAGTGATACAGAAAGCTAGAACTATATTCCATTAAAGATGGAGTAATATGGAATGCTAAAGCTACACTGCGTTAAAGAACAGTAATAAAGAATGCTGGTATTTTATTACTTCAATAAAGACAAAGGAGTAATACCAAATCATGGTGCTATATTCTATTAAAGATGGAGTAATAAAGAATGCTGAGGATAAAATCCATTAAAAAATTACAATTATTAAATAAGTAATACAGAATGCTAGGGCTATATGCCATTAACAAGCGACATAGTAATACAGAGTACTATATTCCATTAAAGAATTAATAATACAGAATACCAGAGCTATGTTCTATTAAAGACAATGTAACACAGGAAAAGAGCAAGAAAAGGCAACTACTAGCTCCAGGGTAGGTGTTGATTGTTACACAGCTGGACCCAGGTAAACAGTTAATCTGTGAAGGCACCAAGCCACTCCAGACACCAAAACCACTACATCAGGCTGTATATTTTCACAATTTGTAACAAAAAATAAGTCTCCAGAATATGATTTTATTCTTTAGAAATATATTCAATAAAATTAGAATGCAGTATGCCACCTAGTCAATGATATGAAGCATTAATCAAGGGCTATTGCTAACTGTATACACAAGGGGGCGAAAAATAATAAGTTTACATTATTCCTACTTTTAGCTCTGAACTGTATAAATGGTTTTGTTGTGTAAGGTTTACTCTCAATTAAATCTACTATTAGATCAGCAAAATGTACATTTATTTTGTATTTTAATTTGCTTTATTCAAAAACACTTATAGTTCATATATGACAAATTGACTTTAATGCCTAAATCTGTGCTCAATGAAAGGAAAATGTCACAACAGGGAGAGTGATAAAATTGTAGGACTGGGCAGAGATAGGGGACAGTCTTTGGCTTGGTTGTAAAAAAAATTGCATATATCCTGTTCTGGAAGAGTTGTGAAAGTACAATGTATTTGAATGTTTTAACTGTGTCAGTCTTTTCTTTCTTTTTTCTTCCCCTCTTTATTTTCTTTTCCAGCTTGCACAATCTTTATTCAGTGAAAAACTAAATGTACCTTTTATACAGGAAAATGTAGAAATTAAAACTTACCTACTCCCTCCTCTCCATAACCCAAGTGTGGAGGGATAATTACTGTACGTTTTTCTCCAACACACATATCTTGGAGACCTACGTCCATTCCCATGACTACCTGACCTGAGCCCAAGACTATGTTATATGTTTTGCCGTACTGATGCCTAGGAGAATAAAAACAAAAATATTAGGGAACACGGTTCATCTTTTTGCATGAAAGCAAGTACAACGTCAAGGCAATGTAAAGATATTTCTAGGTAATTTGCTGCAATTTGGCAAGTGTACAATTCAGCAACCGCATATTATTAATGCATGCAAGGAAGGTAGCTAGTAAATATTTCACTTATTGTGTATACTGGGCCAGCTTACTCATAGAGTCCTAAAATGAGAAGATCTGAGCCAATAACTCTGGTTGTTCCATCACCATGTTGATAATCTGTTTCTAGTTTCAGAAGATATGCATTTGGCCTTTCATCAACCTATTGTTCCTGTAACATTTCTTAATTGTCTGATTTATTGTTACGTTTTCTCCTTTATAACAGAAAATGTTTTACACACTTATTGTAATTTTCCTTTCCTGGCTAATATCCATATCCATGCTGATTAGGACAGGGATATTCAAATTTTAAGTGAAGGAAGGTAAAGAAGGAGGTCTCTTCGCTGAAATGTGATCCCAACATTGATACCAGCCAGGAAAATATTTTAAAGCACTGCAGAATAGGTTGGCTGTATATAAATGCCAACAGTAATAATAATTATAACACTTTCATATTAGTTGAGTTCCAATTTACTTTGTGTTTGAATCCTGCCATTCTTGGAGATAAAAAATATAACATATGATGAATCACCTCACATGGGAAAAGGCATAGAGAAACATGCTCTGCCTATGAAATCAATGGAAATACATACCAGTTGTAAAATTCAAACTCATGACTGTTCCTCTAATTTACACTATGAACCATGAACCGTAATTGATCAGTCTCATTACAATAAAAAAAAAAAAATATACAATGATCAGCCACAACATTAAAACTACTGACAGGTGAAGTGAATAACATTGATTTTATTGTTACAGGGGCACCTGTCATTGGACTGGATACACTGGACAGCAAGTGAACAATCAGTTCTTGAATTTCATTTGTTGGAAGCAGGAAAAGATCTGACTGACTTTGACAAGTCAAAATAGACAAAAATAGTGATGGCTTGACAACTGGGTCAGAACATCTCCAAAATGGCAGATCTTATGGGGTGTTAACTATATGCAGTGGTTAGTACCTACCAAAAACAATGCTTCGTTGTTGCTTTTATTACACCAGTACAAACAGCAAACAATAAAGTGTCCATTTCAAATTCAGTTGTTACATAGGACTCTTGTTAAGAGTGAACACAATGAAAGATTACATTTAAAAAGAGACAACATATATTCATTATAAATATAAATATAAATTTAAATTTACTTTCACACTACTTCTTGTAATATTTTGAGTTTTCCCCATTCTCAAGTCCTCTATTAGATGCCCAGGAGTCTGAGGGTAACTATGTGGTATACATTTAAAATAACAGATGAAATTAGTATCTTGTAATTTAATCTGTTATTTTACTTTAGCATCATTGCACTAATACAGCTAGAATTTCTTCTCTCTCTCTCTCTCTCTCTCTCTCTCTCTCTCTCTCTCTCTCTCTCTCTGTCTCAATATATATATAGTTAAAGGGACACTATAGTCACCAGAACTACAGCTTATTGAATTTGTTCTGTAGAATCAATACCTTCAGGTTTTTTGCTGTAAACACTGTATTTTCAGAGAAAATGCAGTGTTTACATTACAGCCTAGTGTTAACTTCACTGGTCACTCCTCAGATGGCTGTTAGAGATCCTTCCTGGGTCACGGCTGCCTAAAAAGCATTTAAACATTCAGTGTCTCCTCCCTCTGCCTGCAGACACTGAACTATCCTCATAGAGATTCATTGATTCAATTCATCTCTATGAGGAGATGCTGATTGGCCAGGGCTGTGTTTGAATTGTGCTGGCTCTGCCCCTGATCTTCCTCTTTGTCAGTATCAGCCAATCCTATGGGGAAGCATTGTGATTGGATCAGGCTACCAGTTCTGCTGATGTCAGCAGGCAGTGGGGCAGGTCAAAATGAAACAGGGACAAAGCCAGCAGCTTCCGGCTTGAATACAAGTAAGATTTTACTATATTTAGGGAGGCAAGAGGGGACCAGGGGACTAGATGATGCTTTTAACACTATAGGGTCAGGAATACATGTTTGTGTTCCTGACCCTATAGTGCTCCTTTAATACATTGCTAAACACAAATACACACACCAGTCAAGCCATAAAAACTTGCTTTTCCCATAGAAATCTCACTACTGCAAGGGATTCTGGGTAGGCGTATGCAAATGAGCTCAACAAAGAACCACATTTTTGCCTCAATTCCACTTTATACATAGATTCCTTGGAGTATGTGTCTGCTGTATACAACAGCTTTGAAATACAACTCAGGAAGAAGAGCAAAGCATATATATACAGGGAGTGCAGAATTATTAGGCAAGTTGTATTTTTGAGGATTAATTTTATTATTGAACAACAACCATGTTCTCAATGAACCCAAAAAACTCATTAATATCAAAGCTGAATATTTTTGGAAGTAGTTTTTAGTTTGTTTTTAGTTATAGCTATGTTAGGGGGATATCTGTGTGTGCAGGTGACTATTACTGTGCATAATTATTAGACAACTTAACAAAAAACAAATATATACCCATTTCAATTATTTATTATTATCAGTGAAACCAATATAACATCTCAACATTCACAAATATACATTTCTGACATTCAAAAACAAAACAAAAACAAATCAGTGACCAATATAGCCACCTTTCTTTGCAAGGACACTCAAAAGCCTGCCATCCATGGATTCTGTCAGTGTTTTGATCTGTTCACCATCAACATTGCGTGCAGCAGCAACCACAGCCTCCCAGACACTGTTCAGAGAGGTGTACTGTTTTCCCTCCTTGTAAATCTCACATTTGATGATGGACCACAGGTTCTCAATGGGGTTCAGATCAGGTGAACAAGGAGGCCATGTCATTAGATTTTCTTCTTTTATACCCTTTCTTGCCAGCCACGCTGTGGAGTACTTGGACGCGTGTGATGGAGCATTGTCCTGCATGAAAATCATGTTTTTCTTGAAGGATGCAGACTTCTTCCTGTACCACTGCTTGAAGAAGGTGTCTTCCAGGAACTGGCAGTAGGACTGGGAGTTGAGCTTGACTCCATCCTCAACCCGAAAAGGCCCCACAAGCTCATCTTTGATGATACCAGCCCAAACCAGTACTCCACCTCCACCTTGCTGGCATCTGAGTCGGACTGGAGCTCTCTGCCCTTTACCAATCCAGCCACGGGCCCATCCATCTGGCCCATCAAGACTCACTCTCATTTCATCAGTCCATAAAACCTTAGAAAAATCAGTCTTGAGATATTTCTTGGCCCAGTCTTGACGTTTCAGCTTGTGTGTCTTGTTCAGTGGTGGTCGTCTTTCAGCCTTTCTTACCTTGGCCATGTCTCTGAGTATTGCACACCTTGTGCTTTTGGGCACTCCAGTGATGTTGCAGCTCTGAAATATGGCCAAACTGGTGGCAAGTGGCATCGTGGCAGCTGCACGCTTGACTTTTCTCAGTTCATGGGCAGTTATTTTGCGCCTTGGTTTTTCCACACGCTTCTTGCGACCCTGTTGACTATTTTGAATGAAACGCTTGATTGTTCGATGATCACGCTTCAGAAGCTTTGCAATTTTAAGAGTGCTGCATCCCTCTGCAAGATATCTCACTATTTTTGACTTTTCTGAGCCTGTCAAGTCCTTCTTTTGACCCATTTTGCCAAAGGAAAGGAAGTTGCCTAATAATTATGCACACCTGATATAGGGTGTTGATGTCATTAGACCACACCCCTTCTCATTACAGAGATGCACATCACCTAATATGCTTAATTAGTAGTAGGCTTTCGAGCCTATACAGCTTGGAGTAAGACAACATGCATAAAGAGGATGATGTGGTCAAAATACTAATTTGCCTAATAATTCTGCACTCCCTGTATATATATATATATATATATATATATATATATATATATATATACACACACATTCATATTTCCTGGCTAATCATGGCAGAATTTAACATATGGGTTTAGCTCCTCCCTCCAACCCTCAGGACAGGAAACACAATCAATTAAACAATTAAGCCTACCTTCCCTTAGTATATTAGGTACCCCAGTATCCCCCACACCTCAGTCTTTTCCTGTCCTCCTAGCCCTAGGACAGTTTAAATATTTTTTTTTTCTTTTTTTCAGTTTCTTCTGAATGATTTTTTATTTTTTGCTCACCTGACCATGTTTGATATGGTCTTGTCCCTTTGGAGGTCAGCCTCCCTCCTCAGGAAGCCCAGGCACATGTAGCCCAATCTCCATGGAGTTGGGAACCCCTGGGAGCCTGGGTGGTTAGTTCCACAGGCTGTGGGAATCCTCTGCCGTCCAGTGTGTGCTGCAGACCTCGATCAGACGATCAGCATAACGGTAAGACGCTCGCGCATGCGCAATGCGTCCGACCGGACCCAGAGTGAAGTTTGCCCCTTTCCAAAATGGCGGTTTAGCGATCTCGCGACCGAAGTGCGCATGCGCGATCATTTAAAGGTACAGAGCGGGAAATTTGAAATGGCGGTATTTAGCCTAAAAAACGCTCGTTTCCGTTCCCTTTAAAGATACAGTGCTCTAGTAGACTGTTCTTAAAGCTCTGCAGGTAAGAGAATTACTTATATTTTAAAATCATCATAATATTGGGCTGGGAATACTTTTCTTATTATTTTAACATTCTTAGCCCTACAGTCAGTATGGATCCTTCATCCCCTTCTGCAAGATCAACGAGATCTGCTATAGGTCATAGGTGAGCAATATTTTTTCTTGGTTTCTTCACGTTTCTAAAAAGAGTGCACAGAGGGTACAGTCTTATGACTTCTGTATCTTACAGCCCTCGTGACCGGTCCTGTCCCAGATCCCCATCGAGGAGAAGGGAGAAGCCGGCAGCCTGCCCTGGATGTGGAGCAAGGCCTTTGGATAACTGCAGGCTCTGCAGAAAATGCTTAAACATGGCCACAGGAGAATCTGATCGCCAGAGGTCACCGCAGGCCTCTACCTCCTCAGCCAAGGATATTGCTTATTGGATTAAGCAGGCAGTGGTTGAGGGAATTGCTGAATCCCACAAGATCAAGAGATCAAGAGGGGAAAACTTCGGCATGGATTCAGATCAGTCTGACGATGAATACAGACAAACTTCATCTTACCTGGATTTGGAGCCAATCTCGTCCAGTGAAGAGGAGTATATGGAACAACCTTGCTCCTTGGACTCCAAAGCTATGGAGCATTTGATTATGGCTGTTAGAAGAACATTGGATTTGCCGGAAGAAACCAGAGAATGTTCAGCTTCTGACAGACACTTTGGAGATTTACATAAGAAAAGACCTTCCTTTCCAGTCCACAGCTCTATTAAAGACCTGATGAGGAACGAGTGGCAAATTCCTAGTAAGAGGATTACTAGTCAGGGTCGGCTTTCGAAGTTATATCCGATTAAAGAGGAGGATTCCAGATTGTGGACTACGGTCCCCAAAGTTGATGCTCCTATCATTAAGGTTGCTAAAAGATCCACGCTACCAATTGATAGCAATGCTTCCCTTAAGGAGCCCATGGATAAAAGGATTGATGCTGATTTATCTAAAGCTTTCATGACAGCGGGTTTAGGTTGCCATCCAGCTGTGTCCATTTCGGCTTTGTCTAGAGCCATGCGTTCCTGGTTGCTTGACTTGGAGGATGACATAGATAAAGGTGTCAGTAGACGTCAGATGGCGGAATCCTTAAGGGATATCAAACTCGCCAGTGACTGGCTTTTGGAATCCTCCACTGACCTCATTAGAATTCTTTCTAAGGTTATGGCACATTCAGTCACCGCTAGAAGGGCGCTTTGGCTGAGATCCTGGGGAGCAGACCTGTCATCCAAGAATAATTTATGCTCACTTCCCTTTATGGGAGAAGTGCTTTTTGGGAAACCTCTGGATGAAGCGATTAAAAAGGCGGCCGAGGTTAAACAGGTCATGCTGCCACAAGATAGGCGTCCAAAGAGACCTCGTCTGGACCGTAGACCTTTTAGGGATCAAGGCTACTTTAGGGAAAGTAAGACTTACAGGCCAGGTAGAGAATTCTCAAGGAATTCCAATTGGAAGAGCGGCCTGAATGGGAAATCCTCTAGGGGCAAGACGCAGACCTCTTCCTTTTGCCCCAACAAGCAATTCTGAAGGTGGCTTACTCCAGGTTCCTCGAGTGGGAACACGTCTTTCATTCTTTCAGAGGGCCTGGGAAATAATTCCAGATGCTTGGGTAAGATCCATTATCACCGGAGGTTATCATCTGGAATTCGACGAATATCCACCTCCACCAAGGTTTATTCGCACAAGGCTTCCAGCCAACATCCAAAAAAGAGAGGTTTTGACTCTTTATGTCAACAATCTTCTTACGGAAGAAGCCATCATACCTGTACCCATAAGAGAAAGATTCCAGGGATATTATTCTCCCCTGTTTTTGGTCAAGAAGCCGGAGGGAAAATGGAGGCCTATTTTAGATCTCCACCAGCTCAACCTTTATCTGAGAGTCAGAAAATTTCGCATGGAATCCATTCGCTAAATCATTCCGGTTGTTCATCACAGAGATTGGATGATATCAGTAGATCTCAGGGATGCATATTTTCATGTCCCTATCACGATCTCCCATCAAAGGTTTCTCAGGTTTTGTGTCCGGAAGGAACACTTTCAATTTCAGGCCCTTCCTTTTGGTATAAGTACGGCCCCGAGGACCTTCTCGAAGGTTCTGGTCACCATCATTGCTTTGCTCAGAAAAGAGGGTGTAGCAGTGTTTCACTACCTGGACGACATCCTGGTAGTGGCCCCGGACCTAGCATCAATATTCCAACACAGACAACTAGTCCTCGACACTCTATCTCATTTCGGCTGGCTCATCAACTACGAGAAAAGTCACTTGCATCCTTCAAGTGAACTGATATTCCTGGGAGCAAATTTCAATAAGGACACGGCAATTGTATCCCTCTCACACGACAGAAAGATCATACTTCGAGATCGGATAAGGGACTTCAGACTGAAGACTTCAGCCTCGGCAAGAGAGTTTATGAGACTTCTAGGGACTCTTTCCTCTACTATAGAACTTGTCAGGTGGGCTCAGTGGAACCTTCGACCTCTTCAACAATTTTTTCTAAAAAATTTCAGGACCGACTCGAGGGAGTGGGAGACGCTGATTCGCATTCCTTTGGTTCTGAAGCGGAAGCTCCTTTGGTGGATGTCGTGGGAAAATCTATCCAGAGGGTTCCCCTTGCGGGAAATAGATTGGGTGGTCATTACGACAGATGCCAGTCTGACAGGTTGGGGGGCACATTTAGGCAATCAATTTTTTCAAGCAAAATGGCCTCCAAGAACCCAATGCTTGCCTTCCAACATCAGGGAGCTAAGAGCAACCTTTCTGGCGCTTCTTCATTTTCAGCATCTCATCAGGCATTGCTGGGTCAAGTTGAGAGTGGACAACAAAGCGGCTGCTGCCTACATAAACCATCAAGGCGGAACAAGGAGTGTAGCTCTGATGAAAGAGATGTTTCCCATTATGACCTGGGCTCAGAATCATGTAGAAGGCCTGTGTGCCATCTATCTCCCAGGGAAGGAGAATGTATTAGCGGATTTCCTCAGCAGACTTCGGATAGAGGCTTCAGAATGGCAACTTTCCAGGAGGATCTTCGCTCGGTTGGTCCAGAAGTGGGGTCTTCCCCAAGTAGACCTCATGGCGACCATTCGGAATGCGCAGGTTCCATGCTTTGTGTCGAGGAGATACCATCCAAAGGCGGTTGCTCAGGATGCTCTATCCATCAATTGGGTATTCGATCTGGCTTACGTTTTTCCTCCAATTCCCCTCATCCACGCTGTTCTGAGAAAGATCTCCAAGGAACATTGCAAGGTGATAGCTGTACTTCCATTCTGGCCTTGTCGCCCTTGGTTTCCCCTGTTACAGAGGTTATCAATGGACCTGCCTTGGGAACTTCCAGTCTCAGAAGACCTGCTGATTCAGGGTCCAGTGTTTCATCCGGAGCCTCACAAATTCAGGCTCCATGCATGGCTATTGAGAGGAAGTCTCTAGTTGAACATGGCCTTTCGGACCAGGTTATCTCTACCCTGTTACGTTCCAGGAATCCTGCTACTTCTTCTACTTACCATAAGGTAAGCCTTTGCTCGATGGTGTAATTCCACGGTTCAAGATTTAGATTCCCCTTCCGTATCTCAGGTTTTGGGTTTCCTGCAAGCAGGCCTGGAGAGGGGCCTTCAACTTAACACACTTAAAGTGCACTGCTCTGCTCTTTCAGCTCTTTCCGGTGTTCGTTGGGCATTGAATCCTATTGTAATTCGCTTCTTCAAAGCAGTCATTAGGATTAGACCTCCTATCAAGGTATTTTCTGCTCCCTGGAATTTGCCTCTGGTTCTGCAGGCCTTGACGGAACATCCCTTCGAACCTATTGATGAGGTCCCTATGCAGGTTCTTTCTCTAAAGACCCTGTTGTTACTGGCCTTGGTATCTGCCAGAAGAATGTCAGATATTAGAGCGCTGTCGTTGGAAGAACCGTTCACTACCTTCTTCGATGATAGAGTTGTGCTACGGCCCAGACCTGAGTTCCTTCCTAAGGTTGTTACATCCTTCCATCTGAATCAAGAGATTGTCCTGCCAGGGTATTTTCAGGAGCCATCGTCTCCTGAGGAAGAAAGATGTCATACGCTAGACCTAAGGAGGTGTCTTTCTACATATATTTCACGCTCAGCTAATTGGAGAAAGTCTCCCCAATTGTTTGTGATACCTTGGGGTTCTCGTAAAGGTGAAGCTGCCTCTGTCGCAACCCTTCGTTCTTGGACTGATCAGGCTATTTCTAAAGCTTACAGAGCTAAACGGATTCCAGTTCCCAAGGACATCAAGGCACATTCCACAAGGTCCATTGCTACTTCATGGGCTGCAGAGTCAGGAGTTCCTGCAGAGAGCATCTGTAAAGCTGCCAATTGGTCATCTTTAAAAACCTTTATACACCACTACAGAGTGGATATCTCATCTCGTTCTGATTCAGAGTTTGGCCTATCGGTCCTGAACTCTTATAAGCCTTAAAGGACCACTATAGTGCCAGGAAAACATACTCGTTTTCCTGGCACTATAGTGCCCTGAGGGTGCCCCCACCCTCAGGGACCCACTCCCGCCCGGCTCTGGAAGGGGGAAAGGCTTAAAAGCAAGAGCTGCGCGCGCATTCAGCCCGTCGCATAGGAAAGCATTTACAATGCTTTCCTATGGACGCTTGCGTGCTCTCACTGTGAAAGTCACAGTGAGAAGCACGCAAGCGCCTCTAGTGGCTGTCAATGAGACACCCACTAGAGGATTAGGGGGAAGGCTTAACCCATTCATAAACATAGCAGTTTCTCTGAAACTGCTATGTTTATTAAAAAATGGGTTAACCCTAGCTGGACCTGGCACCCAGACCACTTCATTAAGCTGAAGTGGTCTGGGTGCCTAGAGTGGTCCTTTAAGTGGATATTAAACAGTTTTTGTAGCATGACTTACCCTCCCTGAGTGGTTATTGCTTTGGGAATCCCATATGTTAAATGCTGCCATGATTAGCCAGGAATAGAGAAAATGTATTGATACTTACCGTAATTTTCTTTTCCTGGCTATTATTCATGGCAGCATTTGGTCTCCCACCCTTTCTTGGTTTATTTGTCTTGTTACTGGACTGAGGTGTGGGGGATACTGGGGTACCTAATATACTAGGGGAAGGTAGGCTTAATTGTTTAATTGATTGTGTTTCCTGTCCTGAGGGTTGGAGGGAGGAGCTAAACCCATATGTTAAATGCTGCCATGAATAATAGCCAGGAAAAGAAAATTACGGTAAGTATCAATACATTTTCTCTAATTTAGCCATGGAAAAAGCCACATTTACTATGGTAGCATATACTAATGGGTTAGCTCTGCCCAGTGGTGGACACACAATCCATGGGGCCCCAGTGTGAAACTGATCTATGGGCCCCCCCCCCCGACAGACACATACATACAGACACATACATACAGACACATACATATAGACAGAAACATACACAGACACATATACATACAGAGACACATACATACAGACAGACACACACATACAAATAGACACACAGGCACACACACATACATACAGACACACACATACAAATAGACACACAGACACATACACACATACATACAGAGCCACACACACACACATACATACAGAGCCACACACACACACACACACACAAATACACACACAGAGACACATATACACACGCATACATACACACACACACACACAGACAAATACATACACACATACACACAAACAAAAACACACATATACAAAATGTTTAAGTCACCCTCCTGTTTCCTACCTTTTAGGTGCAGGAGGGTGACTTTACCTGAGGTCCAGTGGTGGCTCAGGCTGGTGGGAGTCCTCCCGCGCGGGTTCTCGCTGATAGATGGGAGGAGTGACCAGGGCAGTTACTTCCTCCCAGCTGACCAGGTCCCCCTGGAAATTCCTCTCTATGGGGTGGCCCTAACAGTATGGGCCACCCGATGGGCCCCTTGAAAATGTGGCCCCAACAGTTTGCAAGAGGCTCCTTTTAGAAATGTGGTCAGTCCTATATTTATAGATCCAGCTGCACTTAAATATCAGTTCTTTCTATCAACTAATAAGTCCTTCTGACTACACCTCAGCAGTTGGAGCTCAGCTATTAGCCTTTCCTGACATATGGGCAAAGTATATGCAGGACACATGAGTTAATACCTTCATCAAGTCAGGTTACAAATTAGAGTTCAGCCTAAAGCCAAGAGGAGACCTTTTTGTTATGACTCGGATTACTTTAGACAGGTCTCAAAAGACGGCCTTATTGGAATATGTGGAAAATCTGTTAAAAGAAGAAATAATCTGCCCAGTACCACAGAAAGACAGGTTTCAAGGATGTTATTCGACCCTGTTTTTGGTCCAGAAGACAGGAAGGTAATTTTTGATCCGCGAACTATCAATTGGCACCTGAACATAAGATCCTTCAGAATGGAGTCCCTAAAGAGTATTGCCCATGCAAACAGAAAATAATGTTTCCTGATGTCTATAGATCTAAAAGACAAATATTTCCACATTCCAATTGCTCCAGCTCATTTGCCATTTCTGAGATTTCCTCTTAAAGAAGACCATTACCAGTTCTGCACACATCATTTTGGGTTGAGCACAGCCCCCAGTATCTTTACAAATTTTCTTCTGGCCCTCATTGTTAGAATAAGAACCCTAGGCATAAATATCTTCCATTACCTGGACGATATCCTGTTAGTGGGTCCAGATTCCCAGTTGTTATTACATCACAGAGACTTTGTCATAAACACATTTTTTCATTACAGATGGCTGTTAAACTACCAGAATAGCAGTCTTCTTCCAGCCAAACACATTAATTTCCTAGGGCTAACTTCAATACCAATCTCATTCTCATTCATAAAAGACTTCAGAAAAAAATTGAATAATCACAGCAAGGGCATTTATGCAACTTCTGGCATGTACCAGAGGCCTAGTGAAGTAAGCCCAACGGAACATTAAAGTCCCACAACATTCCTTCCTGATTCAGTTTAATTGCTATATAAATAATAATAATAATAATAGTAATAATAAAAACAATAATTGGAGAAAAGGGGGCTGGTCTCAACCATTGATTATCTCCAAACTAGTAAGTCTACACCTGGGTTGGTGGATGAACCCTAAGAATTTGAAGAAATGGTTTCCATGGTAATCACTACAGTTCAAATAGAACTATGAGTGGTGATAAAAGATCTCCATTTCGAACAGCTTCTATCAGGCTCCTGGATAAGAATACATTCAGACAGATGACAGACTTATATAAATCATCAGGGAGGTACTCACAGCCACCTTCTGATGAATGAAATTGAGGAATTGATTAAATGAGCTTAGAGACACGTTAGGTCTATCAGCAGTACACTTGCCAGGGGAGCGAAACTAAATTGTAGATTTTCTTAGCAAGAGGACAACAGACAGGTATGAGTGGCATCTATGTCTTCAAACATTTCAAGGATCGAGCAGACCACAACTAGACCTAATGGTGAGTTCAGACAACAGTCACATTCAAACCTACTTTTCAAGAACTCACGATTCCAAAGCGCAAAACCAGGATGCGGTATCGCAGGATTGGCATTTTTCTTTCACCACTTCCCCTGATCGCTATTCTTCTGAAGAAGATTCAGCTTTGGAGAGTGGAGGTGATAGCCATTTTACCCTATTGGTTCCCAATAGCACAAGGATATGTTGAGAAACTCCCAGGAGACTACCAATATGTCCAGACCTGTTGACACAACGTCTGTAGGAACTTTTTGATGTACTTATTATGATGAACAAAAGCTCTGTATACAAGTTATCAATAGAACAAAAAAAAAAAATCATACTTTGCACCTTTTGTTTTTCATTTCAATTTTTAGTAATGCTGGAGTTGCACATTAGGCAACAGTCTACTGACAGAGTCAAATAAAATAACAATGTGATAAAAAGTGTTCCATTTTATATTTTAAGAACCAAAGAGAAAGGGATCAGGGACAAAGAGGGGAAGGGGCTAAGAATAGGTAACAAGCACTAGGGGAAGTACATAGTAGTAAACAGTGACAAGAGAAGCAAGGATGAGAGAGAGGAAGGGAAAAAGTGGGGCCATGGTAAATAATCAAACATATATTTAATCTCTCTGGAATTTAAAGGGACAGATTTGAATGAGACAGTCGATTCACTCTGCTGGCTGAAAAAAAACAGGTAAATGTGTTTTTCATATTAGCGCTGCTTCTTTTTTATGCTTTCCACAGCCATTCCTGGGGGGACACTGATCTAACCAATTGACAGATATACACATGAACAGTTGAATTATATTTTTATCTTGCAAAATCCTGACCGGGGAGAAGAGATGGATTCTGATCAGTGTGACCACGTTGGGCTTCCTGCTGCTGTATAATACCCTGTTTATGTCATTAGTAGACTGGTTTAAAACTGAGATGGATAAGTAAGATGGGGGAGGGGGCTGAAGAAACTCCCCTAGCTGAGAGACATGCCCAATAATGCAATCTGATCATGTTTACAGTAGGATTATAAACATTTATTATATGCGTTTCAAAATGTTCATGCTTAATATGGGTTTCTATATTTGTTTAAAATTATTTGCTTACTAATTTAAGAAAATAATTGTAAAGTGATGGATGTTCCTTTGAGTTAACTTGATGTAATTTAAAGTTCCTGCGCCCGGGTTATTGTCAAGAGTAGGATATATATATATATATATTTTTAATTGGCACCCCTTTTTCATATTGCTCTTTTTTCATATTTTTTTCTGTCATATGTATAAACATAAACATGCCTTCAATTAGTAATCACATGTAACTCTAAAGTAGATGGATAGGTAAGTAGCATTATTTGTGTTTTTTGTACAGATTTTGGACAGAGATACTATAATTTATTGGTACTTACGTTGAATCTAGCAAGGTACCATCCATGAGAGTAGCATTATAGTGGTACTTCAGGTAATCTCCCTTTTTACTGAGCACTGTGCAGTTACTTGGCTTGAATTGTGCAGTGATGCTGACAGAGTCTTCTGGGTTGTGAAAATCAATGACGTGGATATCAAAAACTAACACAGCAGATCCTGGGATTTTCCCTGTGGAGCAAATGTGTTCGCTGTTAGGTAAACCCCTGATCACTTATTAATTTTTTTCTACAGATTAATTTTAAAAACATATTACATTATTGAATTTATATATAATATATAGCAAACATACATACATATATTAAACCAGCAAATTGATGTATATGTCTGTGTTCACAGAGAGGTAAAAGAAAAATTCAAATTATGTAAATGTACAAAATTCTACTATTAAATTTATTTGCTAATTTACAGAAATAAAATGAAAGGTCATGATTTAAAAGCAGGAATATAAATGCAAAGAATTTTATCATACACAGATATTGTAGTAAATACAAATAGTTAAATGGGTATAAGAAGTCAGATGGCTGTTTCCACAATGCAGTTTTCCAGAAATGTCACATAATGTTAATTAATATCTGTAAATGGGCTCACTAAAAATGTGGACATAAATGTGTTACTTTGTAGGGTGAAACAAATGGATAGATAAGTGGGAATTAAGTTTTATATTTCATTTTGCACTATTTTCTTTTTTGCAACTTAGTCTGTGTATAATCAGGGTCGGTAGGGAAAGGGTTAATCCCATAATATACACGTGGTGTGATGCACTATAGATAAAGGGATTTAGGGTTTATTCTCTAAATCTGGAAATGTGGGAAATGGCTGACTTCAGGCTAAAACAGCCGTGAATAGTGGTAAAAATAGCTGAGCTAGATAATTTTCTACATTTTATGATTTTGGTCTCAATGTATTCATGGTTAAGTAAGCAACCCACAGTTGCAATTACATTATTTCCTGGCCTAAAGAGCTGGCTTAGATCCCTACCATGAGCCCCACAGTAACAAAAAAACACATGCAAGTCTCACTTGATAATGTTGAATTGGTATGTGTAATTCCACATATTGGGAATATTTGATAACCTCTAGATCGTGGTCTAGTAAATGAGTTGTGATGATGGTAAATGTTACCTACCTCTGCCTTCTTCACCATAACCAAGATGGGGTGGAATAATTACTCTCCTCCTTTCTCCAATGCACACGCCAAGCAAACCATCATCCATTCCAGAAATGACGTAACCTTTCCCAATGTAGGTGTTATAGGTATGATTCCGAGAATAGCTAAATAAGGAAGAGGTTTGCAGTTTAGTGTTAAATCTGATACAGTTACAAGTTAACCCACATTAATCAATAACAAGTAGAACGTGGCTGTCAATTGTACCAATCAATCAACTGCTATCCAAAACTATACCGTTAAAATGCGTCACTAAGTGCATCTGATTAACAGACAGTGCACAGTATGGGGTTCCTGACGTTACACAAATACCTTGATAGAATGGCTGATAGCACAATATATATATAATGTATACAGTATATATTGGCACAAGTAAAATGACCAGTCAGCAGCTGATATAGTGACATTGCAGCAGAATAGCTGGGAAGATAGAACACAGAACTGCACTGTCTCTTTAGCTACTCTCCCACAATATTATCATTGGGTTCTATCTAGCTGTCAAGAATCACTAATTTCAAATTGTTAACAATGACATGTTTATTTACTAAAATGAGAATTCAAAGAGAATTTAAAGTGAATGTCAAATTTAAGATCAAAATAGTCAAACCGGAAAAAAGGGTGGTAAGGAAAAAACTACGGGAAAAGATTAGTCTTTCTTTAATTCTGTAATATGTATCAATCATGGCCGGACTGGGGATTCCAAAGCAGTCCTGGAAAAAAAAAATCTATGCCAGCCCCATAAGTCATTGTGCCATATATTGTCGCATGTAATATGTAAGGCTATGTCTTGCCACCCTAGATGATATATATATATATATATATATATATATATATATACTGCTTTTTCAAATATAAAATATTGGTCCTTTCAGAGTAAAATTTTTAATTATACAGTAAGCATACTCACATGCAGACACAGGCAATCTCACTGACACAAGCTGAATGATACACATCCTCATAGACAAACAATCTCACTGATATACATAAGGTCATTGACATAAAAACACAAGCCCACTCACTAGCAGGCGCGCACACACAGCTTAATGTAGTGGCTCTGGTGTCTATAGCCTGTCCCTGCAGGCTTTTCAATGTAAACACTGACTTTGTAGAGAAAAGGCAGTGTTTACATTGCTTCCTAGTGACAGACACTCAGACGGTCACTAGAGGTGCTTCCTGTGTCAGTGCAGATTGGCTGAGATCATCAAGCTTGATGATCTCAGCCGTAGAGGCAGGGCCAGTCGAGGGGAGACCAGCACGACATGGGGGGGGGAAAGGTGAGTAAAAACATACATACACACACACATACCATGACAGACACACACCATGACACAGACAGACCGTGACACAGACAGAAACACACACACACCATGACAGACAGACACACCATGACACAGACACACACACACACACCATGACAGAGACACACACTTACCATGCAAGACACACACATACCATGACAGACACACACCTTAAAAAAGACACACACACCTTGACACACACACACCATAACACAGACAGACCGTGACACAGACACACACCATGACACACAGACACACACACCACGACACAGAGAGACCGTTACACAGACAGAGACACATTACATGACACAGACAGACACACACACACACACCATAACAAACACACACACACCGTGACAAACGCACACCATGACAAACACACACACACCATGACACAGACAGACCGCGACACAGACAGACACACATTACATGACACACACACACACCATGACACAGACACACATTGCATGACACAGACAGACTGTGACACAGACAGACACACATTACATGACACACACACACCATGACACATACACACATTGCATGACACAGACAGACACACACAATGACACAGACAGACACACATAATGACACAGACAGGCACACACAATGACACAGACAGGCACATACACACCATGACACAGACAGAGACACACACCCTATGACACAGACAGAGACACACACAGACACACACATACACTCACACTGACACACAATTTCTACCTGTGGGGAAGCTCCTTTGGCGGCCGCAGGGGGAGTTCTTTAGGCGGCCGCAGGGGGAGCTGGCTGTTCTGGCGGCCACAGGGGGAGCAGGCTGTTCTGTCTCTGCTCCCCCTCCCCAGCGCACTACAAAGAGACCGGGGCCGGTATCCCGGTGGGCCAGTCCGGCCCTGGTATCAATACTGCCAGGTCACTCCTACCTAATAGCTCCCGTGTCCTCCACGCTCTCCCTTGCTGACTATCCTATAATGTGCCTTTGGGCCAGTGAGGGAGATCTTTGATCCCACCGGCCCATGAAGGCACACAGCGGTCTCTTTGTAGCGCGCTGGGGAGGGGGAGCAGAGACAGAACAGGCTGCTCCCCCTGCGGCCGCCAGAACAGCCAGATCCCCCTGCGGCCGCCTAAGAGCGCCCTCTGCGGCCGCAGGTGAGCCAGCTGCCTGCCTGGTCCCAGGTGCCGACGGCCCACCGGGAAATTTCCCGGTATCCCGGTGGGCCAGTCCGGCCCTGGTATCAATACTGCCAGGTCACTCCTACCTCATTAGTAGCCATTTGGAGAATCTTACTTGAGAGCATCTAGGAATGTCCAAAAAATGGGTCTGGTTTGAAATCTGCCTATTTCAGCAGATTTTGTACATTCCAAGTGTCCTTTAAGAAGGAATTTCCGTTGAGTTGCCATTTGGCAGCAGAATCAGCTGCCCATGAGTGAAGGCATGCTGTTGGCCTCTCAATTCAGGAGCAGGGCTGGATTAACATAGGGGCTGATGGAGATGCAGCTTCAGGCTCATGCCCATGGAATAGACCCATTGATTGCTTAAGTATGGAAACTTAAGAGGGATGTAGGGGAACAAAACCTTTGTGGGCTAGCTGACAATGGAATTAGTTAGGGTAAAGCTGACTTTGCACACTATGCAGATACTCTTCAACTGCTACTGCTTCGGTCTCTCTAACACAGTAGCATGTACACTTTCTTCTACACTCACTACATACAACTTTTCTCTGTCCTAGACTGTATAACAGGAGCTTCTGCCTGCTAGTAAGAAAGTAAAGAGAGGACTGGACAAGTGAGTGCTACGGTATAGTACTTAGAAAAAATTTATACAGGCCCGGACTGGCCATCAAGAGATCTGCCCTGTTGGCCCATACAGAGCCAGCGCTATCGGAGTGCTGGCCCTGCTGTGTACCTTCATGGGCCGGTGGGATCAAAGATCTCCCTCACTGGCCCAAAGGCGCATTATAGGATAGTCAGCAAGGGAGAGCGCGGAGGACACGGGAGCTATTAGCTCACAGTTCCGCCGGGTTCCTTTCGCAAGGTTGGAGCGTTGGCATGGCAACACTCTAATCTCACGAGAGTGAACTCCAGGAGCTATGAGCTCACTCACCACTATGGCCACCGTGGATTTCCTTCCGGACCACCAGGGCTGGCAGCAAAGTCCCATATATATATATTTATATTACTCTAATCTCCCCCCCCCCATTGCACCCCAAACACACATTTACTCTAACTGCACCCCCAGCCACACACACACACACACACACACACACACTCTAACTGCAATCCCTCACAAACACACACATTGCACCCCAAAAACACACACTCACTCTAGCTGCACCCCCCGCACACACTCCAACTGCACCCCTCACACACAAACACTGCAACCCAAACACACACGTTTATTCTAACTGCACCCCCCGCACATACTATAACTGCAACTCCTCACAAACACACACACTGCACCCCAAACACACACACACTCACTCTAACTGCACCTCCTCACACACTCTAACTGCACCCCTCACACACACACATTGCACCCCAAACACTCTAACTGCACCCCTCACCCGCACATTTTAACTGCTCCCCTAAAACACAATCTAGCTGCATCCCCACACACACACACTGTACCCCAAACACACACACGCTAACTGCACCCCTCACACACACACTGCACCTCTCACAGGCTCACTGATCCCAAACAGACACACTGCATCTTCACACACACACACTGCATCCCTCACACACACACACACTGCACCCCTCACACACACACACAGTACCCCTCACACACACTAACTGCACCCTATTTACACACACACTGACTGCACCCCTCACACACACACACACAATGACTGCACCCTTCACACACACACTGCACTTTTCACACACACACACACACACGCACACTGCTCCCTTCACACACACACGCACACACTACATTTCTGGCATACACACTCTGAATCCCCTGTAAGCAAACATTCCCTAAATACCACTCTTTACAACCCCTACACACATTACATCACCTACACATACATACTATAGCCCCAATGCACACACTCGCTACATCCCCTATACACACTATGCACCCTGTACATACACACTCTTTTTTTCACTCTCTACGGCAACTAGCCACACATATTACAACACAACTAAAATCGACCACACAAATGCAATTCCATAAGCAGGCTCCACACACATGCAGAATACCCTTTATTGGCCCTCTTCTCCTCTTGTATCCCAGTTATGGAGACACCAGAGACAAGTCACAAACTGCATGTTAGTAAATTTATTTGCGCTGCTTAGAACAAATACAGGGCCTTTTTCTCATGCTAGAGCTCTTCACCAAGGCATTGGGTGACTTGGAACATGCTCACTTTGAGAGGGGGCATGCTTGTCATTGGTGGTGACAAAACACACCTCTCTCTGGTCCCGTCCCTTCTCAGTTGGCCGCTGTTTTCAAAATGCCCGGGTCAGATTTTTTCCCCAGTCCGGCCCTGCATTTATGCCAAGCTCAGGGTGCTGTCAACATAGTACATCCTTAGTTGCCCAGCCTGCATGATTGGCAGACAGCCTGGCATGCATTCATGTTCTGATTCTGGTTTCAAACTGTTTTATTCTGTAATGTTTGTTGTTGCTTCTGTTAACTATGTCAGCTACTTCTCGGCTCCATATTACCACTGCATATTAATTATATTGCCAGCTGCAAATGTAATAAGGAGTATATCAGTATCCTACTGCTTTAACCTTATGTACACTGTGTGCTGAGAACTAATAGTGAGTCAGGAGTAGCTGACATGGTTGGAGTCTATTACTATCTAGATGCTTTAATCGTGTGCACACTGTGTGCTGATAGCTAATTGAGTAGCCCATATGTTTCATAACAAGAGCACTATTTAATTGAAAGCTAAAGTAGTACTACTGAAGATGAGATCATGAGAGGTATAGCTAAGAGAGGGCTAGGAAGATAGAGAGCACTAAAGCATTTTATGGAAACATGCTTTGTGTATTGTATAGGTATCTTTGTATTGTGCTCTGCTCTGGGTATTAAATCTCTATTGTTTCTCATCTCTGTTTGTGGTATGGTTATGTCTGTATTGTGCTCAGGTCTGTGTATTTTTTAGATATCTATATGTTGTGCCCATCTTATTTTACTGTATAATCATCTATGTATTATACTCAGCTTTCTATATTGTATGAGTATCTTTGAACTGTATAGAGAGGAATAAGACTCTGGGGAAGAGGGCGGCACCCACTATCTTAAAACGTCACGTTACAGATACACTTTCCACAAAAGAATATTATTATAATGTTATTTTCTAACCTTGAGTCAAATAATGTGCCATCTAGAAGTGACCCATTGTAGTGGTATCTGATGTAGTCCCCAACTTGAGTTTTCCGCTCACAGTTGTCAGGCACATACTGGCTCTCCACAGCGATACCGTCTTTCGGGTTGTGCAAATCCAGCAAAACCACATCAAAAACTAGAGAAGCCTGAGAAGGAATATCTTTACCTATAAAAGGATATAACATACATGTTAAATGAAAGTTGTATTAGTTAATGTGTAAGCACTGTCACTGTACTTTGGTTGTTTTTATTCATTAGATTTGATAAATAACAATTGCTATTACGTAGACGAAAATATTGTGGTAGCTTGCCCACAATGTTAATTTTCTTCTAGCAGAAAAATTGGGGCTTTGATGTAGCAAATATCGTAACATAATTTTGTCATATGGTATGACTAAATCTATTATCCACTTAAAATAAGTGTTAAGTAGCAATGAACTGTTTAAGACTGTATTTTATACGTGCACGGATACATCTACAGAGTTATACATTCACTTTACCATCTCCATCTTCTCCATATGCAAGGAAAGGTGGAATTCTGATCATGCGTTTTTCTCCAACACACATTCCTAGGAGCCCATTATCCATGCCAGGGATGAGCCAGCCAATTCCAACGTAGGTGTCATAAGTTCTCATACGATTGTGACTGGAAGAACAAATACTGATAGGTCACATAACATTTCACAAACTTGTTACTGTGTAATATATAACTCTTTCTGAAGATTTTAGACTCCCAATAAACCTTGATAAGTTCTGAGTTTCATCCTAAATTATTTATCACCAAAACCCAGTAATACAAAAATTATGTTTTACAAATCAAGACAATTTGTACTAAATTTTTCTCAATCATTTTTAAGAATGGCTTTGATTACAAGCTATCATTACAGATATTAGCAATGTTGACTAAATCTCAATAACAACTTTCCAATGTTTTTGACAACACTTTTGGCATTTTCAGCCCAGTGAAACACCTTCATACAGTGAGGAAATCACAAAGACCACAATGTTACCATTTGTTTCTTGTTACCCTTGTAATATTGGCATATCTTGCTTCTATTCCCCTTCAGGGGACATTTTAGTTTTATATTTCGTTTTAATTTGTTATGTTATTATTTGTATTCACTATTTTTGTCTCGGAGGAAGTCTTATTTTGGATAAAACATGTTGTAGAACCTTTTTTGTTTTTTATTTTATATGTTTTCTGAATTACTTAATTAAATAATAAATTTTTTACTTTTTAATACCTAACCTTGAGTCCTGAAAATTGGTGTCCACCAAAAGGAGCAGGAGGAGATCTTTGGATTACCCCCTGGATATCTAAGGAGAGGCATCCTGAGGCAATAAAATCATGAGTGTATTTCCAGCTTGTCACGGCACATCCCAAGCCGTGCAGACAGAAAGGCATTGCCCTGGGTTTGAACTCACAGCTCTAGCATCCTAGTCAGGTTCTCTGCTATGTGGTCCACCATGGGGCTTCAGCTTATATTTGCATTATTCTGCTTCCTGACCCCTTGCCTGGATTAAGCAGTGCTGATCCACCTGTAGCCCTTTTCCAATCAGGGTCATCTGCATCTAATTAGCAGGCTGTAAAAGCCAGCCCTGCCTAAAACCTAGTATCTGGTCCTTTTGCCTGTTTGGTGTTTCCTGCTGGATCTTTGCTACACTACTGACTGATTTCGTGGACTCTGACCTCTGCCTGCTTTACCGACTACGTTACCCCGCTGCCAGCCCTGACTTCTGCTTCTCGTCTGACCCTGCCTTTGGATTGCCCCTTTATCTGTACGAAAATATTGTGGTAGCTTGCCCACAATGTACAGCTTTCCCCAGGGGATATCCCAGCACATGTCACCTCACAAAATATCCACAATACAAAAAATAAAGGGAATACAGATCTTAATCTGCAATGAAAATTAGTACATAGCGTAATACAATTAAAACAAATAAGGACACTGCGCAGCTGTGTAACAGTCACCTGGGGACTTATGGAACAGTTTACCAGGAGTTGGAGCCCACTTGCAGGAGATGGCACAAGGAGGAGACAAAATCCTGGCTCCTCCTTATGCCATCTCCTGCAAGTGGGCTCCAACTCCTGATAAACTGTTCCATAAGTCCCCAGGTGACTGTTACACAGCTGCGCAGTGTCCTTATTTGTTTTAATTGTATTACGCTATGTACTAATTTTCATTGCAGATTAAGATCTGTATTCCCTTTATTTTTTGTATTGTGGATATTTTGTGAGGTGACATGTGCTGGGATATCCCCTGGGGAAAGCTGTACATTATACCATGAGATAAGTTATTTGAGGATGAGATTGTGGGTTGTTTAAATATATATATATATATATATATATATATATATATATATATATATATATATATATATATCAATCGTGAGACTGTGCAGACATGTAATGACCATGTCAAAAGAAGAGGTCAGTTTTAAGAAGAGGCTTAACAGAGGCATTACCAGCAGAAAACGGTTAGGACATTTTACGAGTGTGGACCCTAATGAAAACTTGCACGTAATACCATCCAACATTCAGAAAGAGTTGTCCCACGAAAACAAGAGAAGGATTGTGATCTAGATATCAACTTGTAAGCCTGAATCTACTGATAAAACAACTGTTTTTGAAGGTAACTGTAGGTCGCAACAACAGTACTGTAAAGGGACAGGAAAATTAAGCAAGAAAATACAATACAAGCTATTAAAAAAATATGCACAATCTAATAACTGTAATTAATTACTTGATCTATGTATATGCTATGATGGCCTAGGCTCATTAGTGTACACCCTTAAAGTAAAACTATAAGCACCAGGACCATTACATCTTAAAGGGATACTATAGCCATCCAAACAACTTTAGCTTAATGAAGCAGTTTTGGTATATATATATCATGCCCCTGCAAGTTTCACTGCTCAATACTCTGCCTTTTAGAATTAAAATATATCTGGGCATCTGCACAAAGTATGATCTCATTGTATTATTAACTGGAACATAGGTATTCTAACTCAACTCAAAGAGAAAATCCATGGTAACTTGGACTGCGATGAGCTCAATTTAAAGTGTATTAAAAGCTTCACAGGGTTACTGAACATGGAGATGAGAGAAGATGAAAGCAAAATTGAGTTTGGACAATTCCTGCCAAGTTACCACTGAGCCTAGGCAGTAGTGATGCCAAAGGGAGCACAATGTGAGGCAGCTTGGGAATGCTTGTATAATACAGAAATTGTCAGGCACTCTACTATGAACAGACAGTTTCCCAGAGTTAAGCTTAGTTTTAATAATGTTTAATCCTTGCTGTTAGTGAAAACTCCCCAAGTCATATGCTAACTACTTCTGTAATATATCTTACTCTTGAGGATCCCAGTCTGGAGAAGTTGTCTAACACATGCATGGAGCATGTCTTATGGCACACTACCATTGACATAGAAATACTAGGATTTGAAAGTAAACAGCATATTTTACTCCTCACAGTTGGGATTATTGTACTTGTTTTTCAATTCATAGATAGCCTTTAAGGTACATGTTAGTCATCACCCACAATCTGATTATAGAAAAATAAAAAAAAGCCAAGGTATATTGTGTATGCAACTATATAATGCAGACCTTGAATCAAAAAGTGTTCCATCCATCAATGTTCCATTGTAATGGTATCGTATGAAATCTGACACTTGGACTGTACGAGAACAATTCTGTGGTTTGAAATATGTCTCCACTTGCACTGAGTCTTCTGGGTTCCAGATATCAAGTAAAAGGACATCAAAGTGAAGCACAGCATTTGGGGGTATGACACCAGCTATGAAAAAAAAAAAGTAAAATGGAGAGATGGTAAATGTAAAGTAGAAGTGTCCACAAATTTAGAATTCTAATAACTGTCTCAAAATCATTCATGTTATCGTAAAACTATTTTTACAATAACATCGTATAGATCATGGATAGGCAATCTTTGGCACGCCGGATGTTGTGCAATACATCTCCCATACTACTCTTACAAAAATAATGCTGGCAAAGCATCAGGAGAGATGTAGTCCACAACATCTGTAGTGCCAAATGTTGCCCTACTGGTATAGACCATCTAATATATAACACTGAAGCATATTATTTCAGAGTCTGAGTGCTAAGTGAAAATGGAGCTGATCAGGTAGTCTATAATAATAATTTCAGATTTACTTGTTTACAGAACACATCTATATACCTAGTGCAAAATAAATTTTTGACAAGGCAATTGTAAATATGGCCAAGAAAAGAAATAGCCAAAATGTATTTTGCACTATGTATTTTATATTCTTTTTTTCTCTGAGCTAATAGAATGTATTGCTAACTATGAAGATACATGCAAATGTGAATCAATTGCATAATTTTAAACTACAAAAAATTTAAATAATTTATATGGACAAGTATTCTTCATTAGAAAACTACCATGTGACAATTTCACTTTAATAAGAAAAGAATACCTAGAATTTTCAATGGCTCATTGAACTGTCATTTTCTGGAATTTACACCTCTTAACAAAATATTGAAAATAATATAAAATAACCTTTTTTTTCATAGGGTGCTCAATTCTCTTTTACATTTATATTATAGATTTAGAAAATTATGTCATAATTTAATTCAGACAAGGCAATTCCAGGCAAATATTGCAAATGAAGAGGAGAAGTAGATGGGACAACCAGCTACAGTATAACGAGATGTGGATTTCTACGTTAATTTTATTTTTACACCTCACAAATATATATTTGTTAAATTAGGTATAAATAAAATAATATTTTAAAAAACAACAGGTAAATAACAGGTTCCCATTGTCATCCCTGTACAGACAGTCTATTACCTGTGCACACTAGTTATACTTGTTTGAACTACTAGTGTGTTTAAATTAAAAATGTGAAGTCACTTTTTTTTTAATATTTCTTAGTTATTATTGTATTCATTGTATTGATACAAATGCTGAAAGGGGCACTCTAAATACCTAGTGTACTTTAGCTTGCTAAAGTGTGAAGAGTGTATCATATTATTTCATTTTACAAAATCACAGATTTCAATAGAAACTGGCACTTTAAAAAAATTTACCTAGTTACATCCCTTGGTTGACATTCGGACAACCTGTCCTGTTACTTCCAGGTGGAGCTAAACTCAAGAGGTAGCTATTGCTGAGACCACCTGCCTTGCTAAGAATTCTCAATGAGCTGCATTGGGAAGTCTGTGATTGGACCGCCACAGAAAGTCTGGGCTGTGAAAGAAGGGGTGTGTATGCAAAGGCGGCATACAAGAGATCTGCAGCTTTTGTGAGCTGTTTTCAAATTTACCCCAAAGAGAAAATGACTAATTAAATGCATCTTTATGGGGGTATATCTACTACATAGTGTTTTTTCAAATGTATTTGGGCAGTGGAGTGTCTGTTTAGGTATAAACTAATGAAGGTATAAACCAAAGTAGTGCTCCAAATATATAAATACACTATCAAACAAACTGTTAATAGCGCTAAGCTTATTTTTAAGTCTTTCCAAAAGAAAAATGAACATTAACCGTCTTACAATGAGATCATGATGGTAGATGACTTACATACACCTTCGCTCCCATAAGCGAGATTGGGTGGAATTTTTATCAGTCTCCTCTCATTTACACACATTCCAATCAGGGCTTTGTCCATTCCTGCAATAATCTTCCCTTTTCCAACAAACACATTGTAAGATGTTCCTCGGTCATAACTGCAGAAAATAGAGTTATTGTTAGCAAAAATATATTCTGACTGTATTATTTCCATTATAAAGAAAGTTGCATGTCTTCCAGGATAGATACAAGAAACAGGCAACTCAAACAGTGTTTCAGAGTAATATAGTCATGGGTTGACCAGAAATGTAGATCCCAGATGTAGAACTAAAACTTTGAGGATGCTTGGACAGCCTCCGGGGATTTTTTGTAAATTACATACGTCATGTTAACAAACAGTTGAAGACTTCATCAAGTAAGTCAAGGTTGTATTTACAAACTAAACAATCAAACGAACAGATTGCCGCAGGTATGATCTCATGTAATATCTTTGCCAGTTATTAGATGCATATCATGTGGATACAATTTAACATACACATCCTTGGTGCTGGACTTAGTAAAACTCCAATAGAAAAACTTATCCTCAAACGATACCTAATGACTGCACACTCAGACCCACTGCACACCAATCTTCTTAGAATAGGTATATATACATATATATATATATATATATATATATATATGTAGCGGAGATCTAGTATTCCACAAGTTATCTCCGCTTAAGATCCCAGTGAGGCTCAGGAACAAGTAGTTATAAATCCATAAGGCAAGGTTTCCAGCAGGTAAAAATAATATAGCAATACCCCAACAGCAATCCCAATGACTGGACGACACACAGCATCAGGAGCAGAACTAAACTTTTATTCACACAGTGGCCTTATAAAGCATGCTCCCATGCAAGGGAGGAATTTACAGTAATTATTACAGTGTCCAATCATACTCGAGTAACCTCCCACACCTCTCCTCCCCTTAGCCTGACTCATAATCCCCTTATACTGTACACAAATTCCCCCCGTTTCTGGATGTAACCCTAAACCTGGGGGTACCCCTTTAAATGTCACATCCCCTGGTAGCCCTGATCTGGAACATATGAGGAACATATCCAAAAATCACCCAGATCGGACCAGGGGTTCGGGAAATCTGTGGAGGTAATAAAAAGACCGACGGCGCTGGACAGGACAGCCGAAATTGGTTCCATGAGATGGGGCCCTGCGGTCGGTCACAGAACAAACTGCACGAATTGCTAGTGTTACAGAGATCAGGGAGGGTTCGCATGAATCCCCTCGTTCGGTTGTTTCTACCGAACGAGGGGTCATTCGGTAGTTTGGAAGCAAATACAAGGCTAGTGTGGAGGTCTCAGGAGTTTTAAAATGGCCGCCGCCACGTGTTCGTTTCCCGAAAGGCGGACACGCCGAGAACAAAGGACCCACTGCACAGATTGTAAATGACCGGTTCGCAACATTGTTGCAACTGGTAATTGAAGGCACACTTCACACTGGGGAGGTCTGACTGTTCGGTAGTTTCATTCCCATAATTGCTAGAATGATTCTACCGAACAATCAGACAAATACTTGACAATAAAATACACTGGTGAAAAAAATCCTAAAAGAAATGGTGCTACAATCACCTTAGTGGAGCCACAGAAACCACTAAATAGACACAAGTGAAAATAAAAATACAGATGGTGAGAGCACTCAAATAAAATAATTACAATACAATTACCCAACCTGGATTACCATCTGAAAGTAAACACAGATAAAAGAAACACATAGGGTAATAACGTAATAATAAACAATTTTAGACTCTATTACTGGTCACACTCACATAAAAAGAGCCACTTAGAAAGCTGGCTCAAACTTGCATGCCTTGAATCACAACTCTCACTGGGCTTTCACTGGGTCCTTTCTTGTAGTTATGTTCCATGCACCACCAGGAAACGCAGGTTCAAGGGGTAACAATACACTTTATTATAGAAAGAAGGAATAAAAAACTACACATAAAAAAGGAAGTCCCTTAGTGATAAAAGTCCACAGAGCACCTAGGTCACACTCACATAAAAAGAGCCACTTAAAAAGCTGGCTCAAACTTGCATGCCTTGAATCACAACTCTCACTGGGCTTTCACTGGGTCCTTTCTTGTAGTTATGTTCCATGCACCACCAGGAAACGCAGGTTCAAGGGGTAACAATACACTTTATTATAGAAAGAAGGAATAAAAAACTACACATAAAAAAGGAAGTCCCTTAGTGATAAAAGTCCACAGAGCACCTAGGGACTTCCTTTTTTATGTGTAGTTTTTTATTCCTTCTTTCTATAATAAAGTGTATTGTTACCCCTTGAACCTGCGTTTCCTGGTGGTGCATGGAACATAACTACAAGAAAGGACCCAGTGAAAGCCCAGTGAGAGTTGTGATTCAAGGCATGCAAGTTTGAGCCAGCTTTCTAAGTGGCTCTTTTTATGTGAGTGTGACCAGTAATAGAGTCTAAAATTGTTTATTATTACGTTATTACCCTATGTGTTTCTTTTATCTGTGTTTACTTTCAGATGGTAATCCAGGTTGGGTAATTGTATTGTAATTATTTTATTTGAGTGCTCTCACCATCTGTATTTTTATTTTCAATCAGACAAATACTGCATACATTTCCACATATAACATTGCAATTTAACCGAAGACATTAAAATACATGAAATTTCCAGGACAGCCCAGTGCCATCCGCTACAATATATATGTATATATATATATATATATATATATTTGCAAAAAATATAAAACATGGAAGTACAAGCAAAAAATTGCCTAGAACAGTCCTCACATGCACCAGTCAAATATCATATAGTATGTGAATGTTGACATTAACAACATTCTATTTGATCCTAGCCTGTCATTATATGCAGGCCCTCCCGATAGAATGCTTTTCTATGGTGAAATAGCTGACACTGGATGTCCTAATGCAGCCACTGGAGGCTGACTTAGTGCTTCAATGTATACATTGCAGTTTCTCTAAAACTGCAATATTTTACATTGCAGCACTAAGTGCAAGAGGGACATTGTACCCAGACACTTCAATGAACTGAAGTGGTCTGAGTGCCTATGGTGTTTCTTAAATAGTTCAAACAAGGTAACAATGAGATAATACTATAGCATAGAAAGATTATTGTGAAGTCACCCAGATAACACCCTTATAATAATCTACAATAATAATCTCAAAGAGTAATACCTCAAAGAGTAATATAAAAATGAAGATGGTGCCAAGTCACAAGTGTAACATTGAAATGTAGAATTCTAAACTGATATTGTAAATAATTGGTCGTGACTTTTGGTGCATTTATCCCAACCTAATTGTCCGTTGACGTGGCTCTGTCATCTACAAATGTGTAAAAATGTTTGCTTTTGCTTAGAAATAAAAAATATCATCAGGTCGTGAGTAGAGAGGTTAGCTGTTAGGGTTTTAATGACTTCCTCTACTGCAGTGTCCTGCGTGAGAGGTTAGAGAAAAAGGTAAGTTCCATCTATTTGTATGGCAGCTTTATCTTGTCCATTTTGGTTCAACTGGAGTTTTGGTATGCGAAACATGCCATCCAATTGTATTATTTTTGCTTGCTTAATGGCGGGGGGGTGGGGGAGGGGGGTGGGAGGGGGTAAGGCTGTGAATATCCTATGTAGAAAATGTGGTAGTTCTGGCATGGTAATTCCACTTTCTTTTATCCTCCATGGCCACTAGTTTCTAGTTCTAGCTGGTTTTGGGCTGAGATCAGGTCGCCAACTGACTTTCTGACTGAAAGCTCAGAGAGGCAGACCTGCAGCAATTTTTACACTTACCACTTTTATCAGACAATAACCATGATCTTCAAAGGAACATTTACCTATAACATTCTAATAAATATATTATTTTTTTAATGATAGAGACCCCTTTGTTTTCGTTTCCATTATTGTGTCTCCCTTGTTAAAAAAAGAAAAAAATGTTTATAATCGCTAAAGAGAACTCACCTGCAATCCATCATGGGACATTTTTCTCTACTGACTTTTGCCCAACTCAATGCATATTATCAAGATGCATTTAGGACATAGGGCAATTGCTGTGCTCCACTAATCTTCAGAACCCATTACTTCTCTATAAGATGCATTGGGTGTTTTAGTGTCAAAATGCTGTGAAAATCAAAGGTCATTAATAAGGAAGTGCCTCTAGTGGCTGTCAGTCTGCCAGACAATATGTCTTTGAACTAAAAATACTAAATTAAAATGAAGTGGTTTTGTTGCTTTAAGTGTTCCTTTCATTATGTACAGTTTAACAGATACATATGAAACTATTGATTGGTTCTTTGCTGCATGATTGACGTAAAAAATAAGAACAATCCAGCTATTGCTGGGCCTGTCTTTGAGGCTGTAGCCGCTTGCAAGATGGAGCTGTACATTGGGTACTCCTGTTTACAAGCAATAAGCTGAATGAATGCCCAGCTCAGTCTGTCAGTTACTGACTCGTATTTCACTTTAGGAATTCCAGCACTAACACCCTTCTCACAATGAAAACAGCACCACTATGTGAAAGTCAAAAGCAAAAGTGAAGACGTGGACAAAGAATCATGTTTCACCTTGCCCCTAATTGAGATCAGTAGAGCACTGCTGCAAAACAGTTATATTTATTTAGGTTGCATATATTACAGACAATTTGTTTTATTATATATTTGTTTTATTACTGAAATGCCTATAGGGGTGAATAAATTGCAAACATGTTTATTGGAGTTTGTATCTCTTCTCTAGTATCTAATAGCTCAAGCTGTATAAAAAAAAATACATTTTTAAAACATGCCCTTTTATATAGCATATGTCTACATAGTTTTGTCCTTATCCACAGCAATTCTTTCTAAGGATGTAAATGTTTTCCTATGGGAAAGAATTGGATTGGCTAAGATCATCAAGTTTGATGATCTAAGCTATAGAGGCAGATTCAGCCACGGTGAGATTGGTGTGGTGTGGGAGAAAAGGTGAGTAAAATCACTTTGTCACAGTGATGCAAGGTGGCCGGTAACCTAAACAGCAACACCAACATTACAGTGTCAGGAATACTATAGGAATATTACAGTGTCAAGAATACCTTTAAGAAGAAATTCAGCACTCGACATGATATTTTTAGAGAAAACAACAGTTACACAAATACACAGGGTTCAGGCAAAAAAAATGGAACCAGATGAATACCCAGTTAAAAAATTTAGTTTTTTACTAAATCATGTTTACAAAAGCAGCTGCAAAGCTGTGTGCTTTATTACATTGATTACCAATTAGCAGCAAGTGCCTGCTGTAATAGAATCTGGTAACTGGCATTTTGATAGATGAGTTTTAAAATATTTTAGGCAATTGACAGCTAAAAGAGGTAGATAGACAATGTCCAAATTGCAGGAATGTGATACAAACTGCAAAATTGTTAAAAGTCATGGAGAACATTATGACAAATGACAGCACATGCCACACATAGACAAACACACAAGTAAAGAAAAAGGGGTATGCAAATTCACAAATTTTTAATCTTCAAACAATGCTACAGTTGGTGGTTTCTTTCTCAATATAGTGGTCAAACCACATCAACGTATCTCTCACAATTCCGATTCCTTCTAATAAGGAGGAAGTTGCGGAAATTCAAAAAGCTATAGGATCATAAAACTGTAATCCTTGGTATATTTATTAATCTGTCTTCCACACATAAAAAAAAAAAATTAGTTTGCTTAAACATAAACCAAGTCCAACTTCTGACACACAAACAACTGCAAACTACCATGGCCGGCTCAACCATAAGAGAGATACAGGGGACCTGGGGGGAAAATAACACACACAGAATTGCTGAGGGGATGAAAGAGGCACACAGGGAGGTTGGGGGGAGATAGAGACACACGGCCCTTGCGGAGAAAGAGAAACACACAGAGGGGATGGAAGAAAGAGACATAGAGGGTCTGGGGGATGAAAGAGAAACAGAATTGCTGAGGGTATAAAAGATACACAGAGAGGGGCTGGGAAGAGAAAGAGGCACACAGGAAGGGTAGGGGAAGAGACACACAGAGGGTTTGGGAAATGGAAAAAGAGACACACAGAGGGGATGCAGAAGGGGAAAAGACACAAAAAGGTGCTGGGAAAGGGGTGAGAGAGACACACAGAGGGGTTGTAGGAGAAAGAGACAAACAAAGGGGCCTGAGGAGAGACACACACAGAGGGGCTGGGGGAAAGAAACAAACAGAGAGGCTGGCAGAAAGAGACACATAGAATGGCAGTTGGAAGAGACACACAGAGGGGCTGTAAAATTGGAAAAAGAGACACACATAGGAACTGAAGAAGGGAAAAAAACATTTATAGGGGTTGAGGAATGGAAGAAAGAGATAAATGGGCTGGAGGGGGAGACAGACACTCTCTAAGATGATGCTGGGAGGAGTAACAGACACACATAGAGGTTTGGGGGAGTAAGAGATACACCGGGGCTTGGAGGATGTCAGAGAACCACAAAGGGGGTTAAGAAATACACAAGAGGGAAAATGAGGATAAGATACACTTAAGGGGGTGTAAGACATAAAAGAAGGATAAGATAGACTAAATGGGGTAAAGCAGTTAAGAAGCAAAAAAGAGGCAAATAATTTAAAAGGATGAAGATGCATTTTTTTGTGGGGGAGGTGGCGGCAAATTGCATCTTTGCCTATATAGCAAAAAAATCCTTGCACTGGCTCTGCATAAACTGAGAAGTAGGATCAAGGATAAGATGATTTTACTAGAAAATGTGATTAGTAATGTGTTGGCTTACCTTGATAAAATAATATTTATGTATTTCCTGATAACTTTACATAACCACTCACCATTACATTCTAAGCAACATGGACTAAATGAATGCTTTTAGAATATTTATGTGTTGACTATCCCTATCCAGCTACTGGACTCTCTACACCCAACACCTCAGAAGCTAAAAGTTACCCTTAGGTTAATATAAAACATTCATGTCTCTGCTTAACTACTACACTACACTGTAATGGCACCAGGTAAGCAGTCAATCTGTTTGTGAATGCTTTGACTTCTTACCTGGGGCCAGGCGCAATCTTAAAGGGATTCTATAGTGTAAGGAATACAAATCTGTATTCCTTACCCCATAGTTCCCTCTGTCCCATTTCCCAATACTGCAAGGGTTAAAAAAAAAAGCCTAATGCTCACAAAATTCCAACACTAGGCTCTGTCGGTGCTGTGTCGGCGCTCTGCCTCCTCCGTCACCCAATGGTACCAGACTCCTGCCCTGCTCCACTGGATATTCCCAATTTGTCTGCAAAGTTTATGCATCATTCCCTGCAAGGGAAAGCTGTTTTGTGTTATTTGATGACCTTAATAAAATCAGATTTATAATAAACCTTATCACTCTCAGCCAATGAGCTAAGCCTTGAAAGATGATTCATGGATCGGGGACAGCCACTAAATGTTGAGTGTATTCAGGTAGATCAGGTGACATCTAACCAATAGAGGGCTGCCGCAATGAGACACAGACACTGAGACACAGAACATCAAGGGTAGAGTGTCTCTACACTCTGAATGTCCAGCATATACCATCAGCTGTTGATCATTTTAACATCAATGATATTGTAAGAACTGACTTTGTATTTGCGTAGCCATGTGAATAAATCTGTTTTTTTTCGTGTTGTTTTTTAAGAAAAGCCAGCAAAGTCTAATTGCATTACATTTTTTTTTAAAATTTTTATTGAGTAATAATGCAAGATTACAACATCTGTTTTGCAATATACAATCTGGTATCAACGAACTTTTGTATGTTATACATTGTTACCATGCTTGAGAGTCCAGAACGGTTGTGGTAACTGTTCGAGCACATTACGTTTTAGCATTACGTTTTAGCATTCGTTTGTGTGCGGTACCCTTGGACAAAGTACTCGAGTGCGGTTTGATTTTAGACGTTGTTCACTTTGCATGGGTGGTGTGTTATTAACATACAGGTAGAAATCAAAACATAATATAACATAACATAACAGTACATTGGGGTGGGTGATGAACTTTCCTGGTATAGCTAGTATGTACCATCGTGGCGTAGAACCTCGTCAGTGTGGATTGTTGCGTTGTGGTAGATTTGTCTGTTTGGGTATGTGGGTCTATAGCCTTTGTGGAGGTGTGTTACGTATGAAAGTTAACCATGGTTCCCAAGTGGCCGTGTAGTCGTGGTATTTGAGTGAAATGGAGTACGCTAGCTCCTCCATTTCTCTGATAGCGTCTACCCTTTCTATCCAGGCTCTGATCGTAGGGGGTGCAGTTTGCTTCCATTTGGTTGGGATGATGGCGTTTGCTGCCGTTAACAGGTGGTTGATCAGTGTGCGTGAGTGTTTGGGTAGGGGGCTGGGGTACATTAAAAACAACAAGACTTTAGGGTCTTGGGGTAGTTTGTGTCCCGTGATGGTGCGAATAACGTTTGTTATCTGGGCCCAGAATTTACTTATTATTGGGCATTGCCACCAGATGTGGCTTGTGGTTCCCTCCGCTTTCTTGCACCTCCAGCATGTGTTTGGTGCGTTTGGGAAGAATCTGTGGATGCGGGATGGTGTGTAGTGCCATCTGGCTATTCGTTTGTAATTGCTCTCATGTGTGCTGTTGCTTTTGGATGTGCGGAAGACATTGGCGAATATTTTATACCACTCTTTGGTTTGCATTTGTATCCCCAGCTCTGTTTCCCACTTGGATGTATAGGTAGGTAGGAGTTCGTCCTTTCGTCGGCATAATTGTTTATAGAAGGAGGATATGTGGCCCCTCCGGATGCTGTGTTGTGCGCATTGGGTCTCGTATAGAGTGTGGGTTCTATGGCCTTGTGATAGTGGTGGATTTGTGCTTAGAAAGTGTTTGAGTTGCTCGTGTCTCAGTCGCGTCATTCCCGTTTGCGATTCAGTGGGTAGTAGTTGTTCAAAGGGAGTGACCCCCTGGTCCGTTAGGACATCTCCCAAAGTCAGTGTATGAGCTTGTTTGGGGAAGTTTCTAAACGCCCTGTGGTCCATGCCTGGGGGGAAGGAGGGGTTTCCCGTTAGTGGGTAGAGTGGTGATGGATGTGGTGCTAGGTGTTTGTCTCTCCTAATGGTCGACCAAAGTTTCACTGTGTGTGTGATTGTGGGGTGAGAGGTCCCTGAGCGCGTTTTCGTGTCGGTCTTGTTAGCGAGCCAGGGTATGGCATATATCGGTGTCGCGAGAAAGCTGGCCTCAATCTGTACCCATTGGGCTGTGTTTTTAGGGTATGACCATTCATAAATCCTCGTGAGGATAATGGCTTTGTGGTACGTTTCCAGATCTGGTAGGCCTAGTCCTCCTCGTTGTTTGCTTTTTGTGAGGCATTCGTATTGTAGCCTCGGGGGTTTACCTGACCATATAAAGTTGTTGAATAGTCGCCTGGAGAGGGAGAAGAAAGGCCTTGGTATTTTAATAGGCAAGGTTTGCATTATATATAGAAACTTGGGGAGAATCATCATCTTTAAGATGTGGATTCTGCATAGCCAACCGAATTGTGGTTTATTCCACGATTTGAGTTCGGTATCTACTTTGTTTAGAAGGGTTGTGTAGTTAAGGGCGTATAGGCGTGACAGTGTGGTTGTGAGTTGGACTCCCAGATATCTAATTGACTCTGTGGGCCAGTGGAATGGATAGGTGACGCGGAACGCTGTTTGTGTGGTGTTCGGTATGTTGAGCGGGAGTATCTCGCTCTTGCCCATGTTTATTTTGTAATTGGAGACTGCATTATATGCCTCTATCTCTTGTATAAGGTGTTGTAGGGATGTTTTTGGATTAGATAGGGTGAACAGTAGGTCGTCCGCAAAAGCGGAGACCTTGTATTCCTGCTCTGCTATTTTAATGCCAGATATGTTTGGGTTGTCTCTTATTCCTTGTAGGAATGGCTCCATGGTGAGGATGAAGAGTAGTGGGGAGAGGGGACAGCCTTGCCTAGTACCATTGGTTATTTGTACGGTATCTGACAATTGGCCGTTCACACGCACTTTTGCTCCCGGTTTTGAATATATGGCTGCGAGCCATTGTATCCATTGTTGGCCGAAGCCCAGAGTTTTCATTGTGGCCATGAGGAAGGACCAGTCTACCCTATCAAATGCCTTCTCGGCATCTATAGTTAAAATGAGGCTCTGGGGTCCTTTTCCTTTGGCTGTGTGTATCAGGCTTAGGAGTTTCGTAGTGTTATGTTTGGCCTCCCTATTCGGTACAAACCCTGATTGATCCGGGTGTATCAGTCCGTTCAGGAGTGGTTTCAGCCGGTTGGCAAGAATCTTAGTGAAGATTTTCAAATCACAATTTATAAGAGAGATTGGGCGGTAGCTCCCACACTCCTCTAGGTCCTTTCCGGGTTTGGGGATCAATGTGATGTGGGCTTCTAAGGATTCTACTGGGAGTTTGTGTCCTAAAGCCAGTGAATTGAAGGCAGTGACAAAGGGTTTGCAGAGCAGATTTGTGAATGTTTTGAAGTACTTGGTAGTGAAGCCGTCGGGTCCTGGGCTTTTGCCTATGGGGAGGTTTTTAACTACCAGTCTAAATTCTTCGTCTGTTAGGGGTCTTTCAATGGATTGTCTTACGTTTGTGGGGATCGTTTGCGTGATTCTGTTAGAGAGGAAATGGGTTATTTCCTCTGGTCGTGGTGGCGTCTGTCTGAGGTTATACAGGTTTGTGTAGAAGGCGTGGAATTCTTTAAGTATGGCTGGGAGTAGGTGAGTGCGTGTCCCGTCTTTGCTTTTGATCGTGGTTATGTATGTGCGTTGCGTGTTTTGCTGAAGGGCTTTGGCTAGCATTCGCCCGCATTTTCCTCCTTGAGTGTAAAATGAATATTTGGTGTGAGTGAGTGATCGTTTGATTTTGGAATTTAACAGGGTTTGTAGGGTTGTGCGTTTGTCAACTAGTTGTTTATAGAGGTCTAGGGAGAGGTTGTGTTTGTGTGTCTGTTCAATTAGGCGGATATCTCGCAGGAGATCAGTGATTTGGGCATCTTTCTTTTTCTTGAGTTTGGAGGCTATAGCTATGATGTGTCCTCTCATTACTGATTTATGAGCTTCCCAGGTTATTGTTGGGGATATGGACGGGGATGTATTTTCCTCAAAGTAGTGTTGTAGTGTGGTTGTTAGTGTATCGACCGTGGCTGTGTCATTCAGCATGGTGTCATTTAGTTTCCATTGGAAGTTGTTGGGTGTCAGAGTTGGGATTTGAAAAACTAGAGACAAGGGGCATGGTCCGACCATGTGATCAAGCCATACTCACATGATTGAATTAAGTGTATATGTCTGTGAGGAACAAATAGCATGTCCAGACGAGAGTATGTGTGTTTGACCGTTGAGTAAAAAGAGTAGTCTCGTCTTTGTGGGTGTATGGTTCTCCAGCAGTCGAATAAATAAGATTTGTCTAATAGTCTGGACATCGTGGTTCTGGTAGCGGCGTTGTATGTCGTGGAGCTGGAAGTAGTGTCTAATTCCGAGTCAAGGGACATGTTTAGGTCACCTCCGAGTATAAGAATGCCTTCGACATGTTTTTCGATTATGTTGAGGTATTTGCGTAGGTGCTTGTGTTGTTTGGTATTTGGCAGGTAGATATTTGCGAAAGTTACAATTGTATTGCCAGTTTTGCCTTTAATTATGAGCAGCCTACCGTTTGGATCTGTGTATTGGTACGTGTGGGTATATGGTGTTTGTGCCCCTATGAGGATGGCTACTCCTCTGGATTTTGCGTCCGTGTAGGAGCTGAAATATCCTGTGGGGTAGTGTCTGTTGCGAATAGTGATGGTGGAGTCTGCTTTTAGGTGGGTCTCCTGAAGAAATGCCACATCAGCTCTAAGTTTGTGGAGTTCGTGTAGCGTTAGTGCTCTTTTTGTTGGGGAGTTAAGACCCCTGACGTTGAGGGTAACTATGTTGAGGTTTGCCATGATGGAAATTGTGTGAACTGTGTGATCTGTCGTTCACGTATTGTGTACCAGGGGAAGATAACCGATAACAAATGAACTATGTACAAAATTGTGTGTAGGCAGGTGGAGCAAGAAATTGAGATGTTTAGTGTTGACGGGAAGGGTTGGCAGCCTCGTCTGTCGGTGGCTTTCCCCTTGAGAGGCTTTAGGGCCTTTGGGGAGTTGCACGTGCACCGCTTTGGCCGCTCAAGTCTTTCCACCTGCTATCGAGGTTTTATTTTCGTGGGAGGTGGTAGGTTGGGGTGTTGTTATTAAATGTCTCGCCAGAGACGGGCAATCCTATGGATAGTTGTCAGTAGTGAGTAGTGGATCAGGCAAGGGGATCAAATTAGTGGGACAGGTAAGATTGTGTGTTTGTGGAGCAGGTCGATTTTAGAGGAAATGATCCAGAAAAGAGGGGGGGGGCTGGAGGCTGCTTGCCTCTAGTGGGTTGCCTAATAGTCTAGGGGTAGGCTTTATGTGTCCCCTTGGGCATGGGCTCTGCCTCGTAGTTGGAGGAGGCTTGCATCTCAATTGCTTGCTCGGGTGTGCATAAGAAGTGTAAAGTGAGACAAATATTATTCCCATAACAATTGCAGCTCTCCCAAAGAACATAAAATAGAAAACCATCCATTAATTGACATATCATGGTATACATTTCCCGGTAAGACAATCAATCAGATCTCAATTGACCTCAGGGGCATTCCTTGAGGTTGTTGCCAAGGGGAAGAGGGGTTAGTAGTGAGGGAGTGGGGAAGGGGACAGGGGATTGGGAGTGGTATACCGTTACCCGAGATGCCACTCAGTGTCTTTATGAGAGTGGTAGATTATTAGGTTAAAGGGGGAGGGGGGGCTGGGGTGATTTAGGGGGTGAGGGGAGGCCTTATGCTTGTCAGCAGAGCCTGTACGTATACATTCATTTACGGTAAAACATACATATTTATTTATTTATTTATTTTTTATTTTTTTTTCCTCTCATACCCCTCCGGAGTGCCATTGCTTCATGTATCTGTGTGTCCTCTTCCCTGCTGACAGTATGTGGTCTTTCAGTCCAGAACCAGTGTCATCTAGGAGTGTCGGTAGAGTGGAGAGTCTCCTTTTCATAGAGCTCGCGGACCGAAGCAAGTCTAGGTTGTCGTGGGAGATGTCCTGATTTGTATGTTTTCTTGTGATGCTCAGGTATCGTGTCCCTAGGGTGGGGCCTTGAGATGCAGTCTCTGTGGGTGGATTTCTGGATTATTAGTGGTCGTTATAGATCTCTGGACCTTAGTTGGGTCCTTGTCGATTGGGGCAGTGATTTCTTAGTTGGTGGTCGTCGTCATGTGCCTTGGGTCCCATCGAAGAGCCGGGGGGCCTGCTCTCGGTCTGGGACCTCCTTGGTGGTGCGTTTGGTCGTTGCTTCTGCGTTTGGATGGCGTCTGCCCTCTTTGCTTGTGGGTCATCTGCGAGCGATTTGGGGGTTGTAGCGGCCCATACCAGTCTGGTATGTATATGTCCGGTAGGTCTAGGGCCGAGGTGAAGACCCGCACGTCCTCTGCTGAGGATAGAGTTGCTGTTGTACCATTGTGCGTGGCAGTAAGGGCCAGAGGGAATCCCCAGCGGTATCTTATGTTCCTAGAGCGCAGTAGGTCTGTGAGGGGTTTCATTGTCCTCCTCGCCTGCAGCGTCATCCAGGAGAGATCTGGGAAGATTTGCACAGGTATCTCATGGAATAGCAGCGGTTGTGTGTCTGGCGGAGATTTCTGAGTATGTCTTCTTTAATAGAGTAGTAATGCAGTCTGCACACTATGTCTCTGGGTGCCTCTGCCATGGGGTTTCTGGGCCTGAGTGCCCTGTGGGCTCTGTCCAGTGCTATAGGGGTTGATACATCTCTTTGCAGTATAAGATTGAATAGCTCTTGGAGGGTTACCTTTAAATCTTCCCCCTCTTTTTCTGGGATGCCTTTTATTCTTAAATTGTTTCTGCGCCCTCTGTTATCTAAGTCATCTATCATTCTATTCATGGATGCTATTTGGGCATTTTGTGCTGTTAGTGTACTTTGGAGATTTTGCATTTGTGTGGCTGTGTAGTCTTGGTCACTTTCTAGTAAGCTGACCCTTTCACTGACCTGTGTTACTTCTGCTGTGATGTCGGCCATTTTTTTCTGGAAAGTCACCTCCAGTTTTTGCAGCATGTTTGCAAGGTCTTGCTTAGATGGGAGGTTTCTCAGAATCTCCCTCAGGTCTTTGTCTTTTTCCCTGTCCAGATCCTGTGACAGTGTGTCAGATGCTGCAGGGCTGGATGGGGGTGATTGGGAGAATTCATCCGGCGCCATATTGGGGCCTGCATGGTCGGGCTGCTTGTCGCCGTGATCTTTGAAATATTTGGTGAGCGCTCCGGTTTTCGGCCTTTGCAGTTTGCCGGCTTGTTGGGAGGCTGTGGACATTCTTTTGGGGTGTCCCATTTTGTTAATTAAGCCTGATGGCTGCGGATTGCCCGTCGCGGCGCTCGGAGCTCCGTTTTCAAGCGGCCATTCGCGGTCGCGGCTAGCTCCGCCCCTGCATTACATTTTTATGTGACAAAGAAGAACATATGTATGCATATGAATAAGTATCAAGTAGAATTATTATTTTAAGATTTCATACAGTAATTTAATTTGAAAACAGGGGATAAAAAAAAAAAAAAAGGAGGGATCTGGGCCTGACTGTCATGGAGGAGAGACGTGCTTTGCTAGAGCTCCTCTCCTCTACAAGCTTAAACTGCGGTTCTCACCTTCATTCAGCCTCAGTGGGGATGATTTAAGTGACATCCACAATTCCTGACTCAACCGAGACCCACTGCAGGGCTTACAGAGAGAACCTCAAATCAAGCGGCCTTCTGCACACCGGACGGGGCAGGTGGCTGATATCCTGGGCCTGGGCTGATCGATGACAACCAGTACTAAACTGGAGACCTGTGACCCCCTCCCTTGGACTGTGGGGGTGATTCCGGACCACCCTTGGGAGGTTGCCCCGACCTTGTGGGAGTATGAGGCAACGGCATATCAACTACTACAAAGTCCTCAGCTGTACCAGCAGCAAATGTTCCATCTTGGCGACGCAACACCCACCACGCTCCCCAAAAGCGCAAGACAGCGCAGAAGCACGCAGTGCAGACACCTGTATCCAAGCAGACATCTCAGATTGGAGATCATGTGGGTATCCCCAAGCTGTGCCGTAGATATAGCCCACCAGCATCTATCTTTGCTACAAGGCATACAGCTCGAATCCTTCTTACATGGCTGTGTTCGGCACTTGGAGTACATAGGCTGAATGAGTCTCTGGGACTGAGCTGAGAGGTGAAGCTATCGCCCTTTATTCTCCCTACTTCTCTGATTTGGCGAGACTTTTCGTTTTACTGCTAGCTGCCTACCTAAGAGCACTTTTATTTGTTATACGCAGTTTATGTTATAAGTCTTTCACTGTTTTATCCTGAGGCTCCGTGGAGGTACTACTTCGCCAGCCCCATGATCTAGCATCCCAGGGACACAATCTCACTGTACCTTCTTTTGGAAATCTTGTTACCTACCATCAAGAGTGCAGGTTTTTAGTATGACTCTTAATACCCCCATTGTTTAGTGAAGTCTCTTGTGCCTTACAATCCTATTTCACACGGTAGCTAAAACGTTGTATCTTGATAAGACACGTGTACTAGCCCTGTTTATGCAGCCGGTCCTTACTAATCTTGTTTACTAAACCTGTTCACTTTTCTAAGCTTATACAAAATGTGCAGTTATTGTAGGTGCCACAAATTGTTTCGCTTTGTTTATATAAAAACTTGCTATAGCTGTTGGGGCATAGCAAGAATGTCAGTTACATTAATTCATGCACACAAAAATAATATATATATATATATATATATATATATATATATATATATATATATATATATATATATATATATACACACACACACACACACACACATACATATATTGTGAGCTTCACAAAATTGTAATTCTAGGTATGACTTCCATTTTAAATGCACTTTAATTCCTGGTGTAAGTGACCTTTGGGCAATGGAATATGAACTATAAAAGTCAAAGGACGTATTGAACACTCAATGTCTGTTGTCTTCTGTTAAATATGGTGAGAGGTATGTGATGGCATAACCAACCATTTTGAGGACTTGAACATTTCTCTACATGGCTGAATACAGGCAAAGCCATTTTATAAGACCAAGACTTCCCTGTCATGCTCCTGTATTTCAGGAAAATGATGCCTCCATACACAATGATACATAAATAATAGAGAAGGTTTATGAGTACCAGTATGTAGCTAAACTTTGTATCAACAAATCTAAACATTATGGAACCTGAAAGGGAAATTCTTGAGTGCATAGTGTGAATTAGTTTTCCACCTTCTGCTTCTTTAAAAAAAAATAAAAACTCTTGGAAGGGTGCTACATCCCTCTGCACACATATCAGGACTTCTATGACAACATTCAAAGAAACAGAGGAAAGGGAAATAATCTGACTCTACAAAAGATAACAATCAGGTGTATTTGTTTATCTTCTAATGAATCAGATACAGTTTTGATACCTCCATGTCTCTGTCAATCTTAAAGTCTCTGTTAATAAACTATTTATTTTATGGAAATTTAAACATCTGAGAATCACTATTGCATTCACTATATGGCCATAAGTAAGCAGCTACTCTTCTGGGAGGAATTCCACAAGATTGTGTCTGTGAGAATGTGTGTCCACTCAGCCTAAAGTGCTTTTGTGAAGGAGTTCAAGGCATCAGAAAGGTGTCAGAGCGTTGTGCAGTCCCTTCAAATTCCTCCATATTAAACTTGTGCTGGAACAGGACTGATACAACAAAGCTGGAATCATCTAAATGTCTAAAATGCCTTTGCATCCTTTAGCATTACCTGGAACTGAGGGGCCTAGCCCAAACCCTAAAAACAGCCCAAACAATCCTACTCTACCAAACTTTACAACAATCACTATGCATTCCAAAAGTTAATATTCTCCTGGCTTTGTCACGCCCAAATTCCTTCATCAGAATGCCAGATAGTAATGTACAATTGATCACTCCAGATAACACATTTCCAATCCTCCAGAGTCCAGTGGTGGTATTTATTGTTTGGCTACTAGTTTTTATATTGTGCTGTTACTGGATCTTGGTAATTTGTCTCTTTGACTACGTTTACCCTTATAGTACACATGCTGTTTGTGGCACAATTGGAAATCGCTTCAAATATTTTAATTTTTTTCTTTTGGATCAACCATAGAAATGTATGTGTGAAAGTAGAAGGCTTTTTTTCAAACTAGATGACTATGTTAACTTATATTAACTTAGCATATTCCAGAGTACATATTACCCACATATGAAATTATAATGAGTCTTTAAAATCCTGTTCTGAGAGATATTCTCAGCTATTCTCTGCCTTTTGGGCATCGTATCTTACAGAGGAGACCTGACCGGTGCTCCCGGTGCTTGATTCACAAGGTTCCCTCATCATTGTAGTACTACGAGTGAAGTTACAAAACAGAGGTCTATGAAATATCCCATGAGACCAAGGGATCCTCCAACTTTTCTTATCCTCAGCTTGGTCTATAAGACAAAGCAGTCTCTTTTTTGAAAGTGTAAACATTATCATTCAATTCTAATCCTGTCAATATGTATACTTCAAAAAAATTGTGTCACGCTCTCTTTAATACAAATATTATCAACCACACTCATAATTATACCACATCAGCCACTCATACAGACAAAAATAGCTAAAAACTCACATGCATAAACATTCTCCCCCCAGTCGCTCCATATGTCTCATTCACTGCCCTAGACCCTCCATGTGTCTAATTTCCCCCCACCCTCTTTATGTGTCTTCTTCCCCCACCCCTCCAGTCCTGCCATGTGTCTGATTCCCATAGCCCCTCTATGTGTCGTAATATCCCCTTCATGTGTCTTATTCCCCTGCATACCCTGTCCCTCGTTGTTTCTTATTCCCTTATTCCCCCATCCACCCAGCCCCTCCATGTATTTCATTCTCCCCCTCAGCCCCTTCATGTGTCTCATTCTCCTCCCATCAGCCCATCCATCATGGGTCTCATTCTCCTCCCCCTCCCCCCAACCCTTCCATGTGTCTCATTCTCTCCTCCCATGTTTCTTATTCTCCCATCCCCCCCATGTGCCTTATTATCCCATCCCCAATATGTCTTAGCAATTCCTCCACTACTGTACCTGGCAAAGCGGTACCTGGTCTGACAACAAGAGTTTGTGTCTTATTATCCCATCCCCAATATGTCTTAGCAATTCCTCCCCTACTATACCTGGCAAAGCGGTACCTGGTCTGACAACAAGAGTTTGCTGCTCTCAGTGAGTACTTCCTGTCATACTGTGGTCTGGTCATCCACGCTACATGCTGGGCCAGCCTTAGGGGTGTGCGAGCTGCACAGGGCGCCATGGAGCAGGGGGCGCTCTGCGACCGACACAGCTCACACATTGCCGACTACTCGGGTGGAGGATTTCACTATTCTCCACCAGGGATAAAAAAAACAAAACCAGTTTCATTTCATTATTCTCCACCCGGGATAAAAAAAACAAAACCAATATTGGGGAAAGGGGGAGGGGGGCTTAGCATGCAGCAGGGGAGGGGCTTAGTGTGCGGCAGGGGCTGGGCTAGAAGTACCGGGTAATTGCTGCATGGGAAGCAGGAAAGAGTCCCTGCTTCCCCAACAACCAGAATCAAGGATCTGCACTACTTCCACCTCCATAATGAATAGAGGTTACTATATGTGATTGTCTGAGTGTGTGTGTGTGTGTGTGCGCATGTGTGACTGTCTGCCTGTGTGTGTGTGTGACTGTCTACCTGTGTATGTGTGTGTCTGTCTGCCTGTGTGTGTATGTGTGTATGTGACTGTCTGCCTGTGTCTGTGTGTGTGTGTGTGACTGTCTGCCTCTATGTTTGTGTGTGTGTGACTGCCTGCCTGTGTGTGTGTGTGTGTGTGTGTGACTGTCTGCCTGTGTGTTTGTCTGTGTGTGTGTGTGTCTGCCTGCCTGTGTGTATGTGTCTGTGTGTCTGCCTGCCTGTGTGTGTGTCTGCCTGTGTGTGACTGTTTGCCTGTGTGTGTGAGAGTGACTGTCTGCCGCTGTGTGTGTGTATGACCGTCTGCCTGTAGGCGTCTGTGTGGCTGTCTGCCTGTGTGTGTGTGTGTGTGTGTGTGGCTGTCTGCCTGTGTGTGTGTGTGGCTGTCTGTGTCTGTCTGCCTGTGTGTGTGTGTGACTGTCTGCATGTAACGATGTATGTGTGACACTGTATATGTGGCTGTATGTATGTGACTGTCCATCTGTACCTGTGTGTGTGTGTAACTGTCTGCCTGTAACTGTGTGTGTGTGTGTGACTGTCTGCCTGTAACTCTGTGTGTGTATGTGTGTAATTAATATTTATTTTTAAATCATTATTAATTTAATAAAACCCCTATACAATCACTACACTACTATACACATACTATACATGGATGACAGGCTAGGGGGGGACGACGATGCAAAGATGTTTCGCACAGGGCGCTTAAAGGCCTAAGGCCGAAGGCCGGTCCTGGCTGCATGCAGTGCCTGGCAGGACCTTCCTGCTGGTCACCCAGCCACCGTGCACCCCAGGATGGAGCGGTCATGCATCAGCCCTGAAATTATGTTGGCACATAAGTGACAGGCCCGCTCGCAACCGCGACCGTGGTAGTGATGCCACTGGGGGGAGTAAATGAAGAATAAATACGCAAGCAATTGTTTGTGCCTGGGGAAATCTTTTGATATATCCTGACTGACATGAAGGAATAGTTTGGGTGCCAGGTCCTATTTTTGAATATACACGGAGTCCTTAGCTTGTCAAGTCTTGGCCTACACCCTGCAGTCCCATATTAAGGACAGTATGAGCAGAGGTGTCTCTAGAAGGGTTAAGGGGGGTGGGGCAATTTACCCCCTGGATTGTGCCTTGCCCTCCCTATCTGCTCCCCTCTGCTGGTCTTCAAGGCTGGTAGAGAGATAAAATATCTCCCTCATCAGTGTTCTATAAGATTCTGTTTCCCCAGCACTCCGCAATTTCCGTATCTCTGCATTTTTTTGTGATATAGGCTTCCAGTGCCTGGCCCTCTCTGCTCCCTCCCTTCTCCAATCATTTCTGTTTTGAATTCTGCTGTTAGAATGGGATGTATAGTAGGGTCCTATAAGCTCCTCCACATAGAGTTATGATACAATATTGTAAGCAGTTAACGGTCGGCTTAGGACCCTACTCTACATCCAGTGCGAACAGCAGAATTCAACAGATGAATGGATGGAATAGGGAGGGAGCAAAGAGGGGCAGGCACTGGCAGCCTGTGTCACAGAGTAGGCGGAGATCAGACAGAATAGGTGGGTGCAGAAAAGCACATTCCCTACTGGACCGCCAAGAATAAGGATTCCCATTCCTCCCTTAGCAAAGGTAAGGCTCAGGGAGGGGGGGATCTATGCTTTTTTGTGTATTTTATATTATTAGATTAAAAAATAATATATATATATATATCCTCCAATATCCCCTCACAACTGCCCAATCACAGCTACTACCCACAATGATAGCTCCATCCACTATGCTCAACCACAGCCTGCTCTCCCCAATCCCCCTTTACCCAATACAGCCCCTATTAGCCTATGCACCCACTACAGCCCTTATTACCCTATGCACCCTCTACAGCAGTACTGCCCAATACGTAGGTACCCAGATGTTGTAGAACTGAAACTCCCATGATGCTTGGTCACTCTACAGGCATTAAAAGCATTATGTGAGTTGCAGTTCTATATCTGGGGATCTACCTATATAGCAGCCTTGCTCTATAGCCCCTATTACCCTATGCACCAACTACAGACCCTATAACCCTATGCATCCTCTACAGTCCCTATTACCATATGCACCATCTATGGTGCCCATTACAGCCACTATCCCCCTGCACCCACCACAACAACTACCTCCTACACCCACTACAGTCCCTATGTCCCTTATACACTTTACAACCCTTATGCCTCCTTGAACTCACTACACCGCTTATCCCTCTCCTACACCCACTACAGTCAGCCCCTAATACCCCCCTGCACCCACTACAGACTCTATTACCCCTGCACCCACTACAGTAGCATTTTTAACTGTTAATCCCAATATCTGGGTTAAGTGAAAAACTATGCTAATTCAAAATCAGCATGGAAATGCAATTATTTGGTTATATGATTAGCAGATTATGCCTTTAACTTCAGAAACTCTATATTTAACAGAAAGTTAGGATAAGCGAGGGAAAAAACTGACTGGTTCATTTTAAGTCAAATCTGTATTCTGATAGTATGTGTAATGCTTTCACACAGAATACATCTGGAATCCGATTCATTCATCAGCAACCAAAAAAACCAACAAAACAGGATAAACCAATGGCAGCCCAGAGACTGCTGTAAAATAAATACTATATGAGAATAAAAAATGTATATGCATGCTTTGTAAATTTAATGAATATATTTTTCAGTTTTTTTTCAAAATGTACATTATTGTTTTATAGGGAAGTTATTTAATTTAAAGAAAGATTTGGAAAGCAGATCTGTAAATCATTATTTTAGATTCCTAAGACAAAATGAAGTATGTGCACTTAAAAAGCTGAAGTGTTTGACAGTTTTCTCCTCATAAGTCAACAGTGACCATCAACTAAACTATGACTGTCTACTGTGACCAGGACTTTTTTTTAATGAAAACTATAAACAGCTTTATAAACCTTCAGCACCGTCCAATTGTCTGAATGAAGACAATTTGATCTCATAAAAATAGTTTCTTTGCAAGTTCGTTTTATTGGTCAGCGTGACATTTTGTGAAACATGGCACATTTAGAAACTCTGCACAGTATCATTTTGAAATATGTTACTTGTATAAAGCTAGATAATGGGGGACAAGACGGGGGGCGGGGAGGTGGGAGATGGAAACAAAATCAACACAGAGACTCTTTGTATAAAGTTATATTCTGGCAATGTGCTATAAATGTGTAGCAATCAGCAGGTATATTCCATGGTTTCCATGGTGAGCTGCTCTACTTGGAGAAGCAGTTGTATTGCTGTCGATGTAAAATCACAGCTGTATCTCAAATAATGTTCCCCTATGGGGTAGCCATTCAAAAAGTCAATTGCTACTAAATAATAGTATAATTATATCTATGGGTATTAAGCATGTGTGCCAATTTACCTGGAGTCGAATTTGCTGCCATCGGGGAATGTGCCATGATAGTGGTACCGCACGAAGTCTCCCTCCTTAACAGCTCTGGGGCAGCTGTCGGGCACCGATCGCTTGTCGATCTGCAGCTGGTCCGAGGGCACGGGAGGGGCGTCATTGCAAGCCACGAAGCTGACTAGAAAGGCGGCCTGCAGGGCCAGCACCGGCCAGCGGCTGATGGGCATCATGGCACGGGGCAGAGCGGCACTTGGTCCCGAGTTCGATCTCCTAATACGCATAACTGGGTGGGCGAAGCCAAGAGGAGGCCAAGTGGTATCTGATGGAGTCTACGGGGGCAAAGGAAGAGGGGCGTCCCTGGTCTCACGGTGATGGGTGTATGTAGAGGGAGAGAGAGCAAGGGGGAGGTTCCAGCTCTCTTTTCCAGTGCTTGGGAAGAATGCAACGTGTTTAGGGCTCCAAAAATCGAGCCATGGAATCAGGAGGAATTTTCTATCCCACTGAGGAGTTATTTGCACAGGAGAAAGTGCCCGGGGCCACAGAAAAAAAACCATGGTGCCCTGGGCTTGCTTACTTTGCAACTATGCAAACCTGTTAAAAACAAGCACGGACAGGCATCAATGGGATGCAGACAGTACTGAGATGCAGTGATTTGCAGAGTTAAAAAATAGATATATCAAAACAATATATGTCAGTGCATGTGATTATGTAAACCAAGCAACATTAAAGCAGAGACATTTGCATATTAACACTGTATGAATAGCTATAAAACAGTGTATTTTGCTTAAACACAGTTTTGTAATTCAATGTTTTGTCAAAAAGAGATTCAACAACGGAACGGATGTAGCAAGTCTGTGGCAGCTCATTTACTGTCCAAAACGCCAAGGATACAATACATAAATATAATGTATTGTATGTACGTTAGTAGTTACAGTAACTGTAAAAGCCTTTACAAAACTTTAAATGGGAGGAGACAGGGTCCAGATGGTAAGAGGAGGGGTAATGCAGCCCCCTACCTTATAATGAATATCAGTGCACAAGAAACTACAAATGTGTTTCTTTTTTCCAAAATATAAGTTTTGTTGCTGCCTGCCTAGGCTAATGTGTAATGAGATGTGGGAAGTATCAGTGATTTGATTGCAATGAGGAATGTGAAATGGTCTGATGGACAGGGTCTAACTTAGGCCTCAACTGTAATAAGGATCACTAGTCATCCTACGTGGCTGATGTGTTGGCACTTACTCCAGAGTTGTAGGGTGGGAGTGTAACTGTGTCAGCCCTCCCTTCGTACTGTCATCCAACCAGAAAATGTCTACTCCTGGTTGCCAGCTAAACTCAGACATTCATCAAGTTTATATCTTAACCTGGAGACGAAACTATTTGCAGTATTTTGCTAGTGCCTTTAACACTGAATGAAATCTGTAACTATGGGAGATGGATACAAATCGGTTTACCATTTTCTGTAATACTATAACTCTGCTTTTGTACAATAAAATGTTAGATCATATGAGTAGCAAACAAACTGAGCTTATATTAATGCTATGAACACTGTATCTTAATTTGTTCTATAACATGCTTACTTGCTAATCAACATTTGTGATACCTGCAACGCAGAACTATGAAAGCACAATACTATTTTTCTTTCTGTGGTGCAGAGATTAAAAATATGTATATTTCTCTTATTCACATTACTATACATTTGTGAGTCACCCTTTAACACTGCACGAGGTTTGAATGTTGCAATCGAAGTGAAACATAAACACAAGCAAATTTTTTCCAATCAAAATGTTTATTTAATAACTTTAATGATACACCTTGGAGAATGGCCGTGAACCTTTATTACGGATTTCATAATTCCAATGAAACCATAACTATATGAATAATAATAAACCCAGTGGCGTACATACCAGGGTCGCAGGGGTCGCGGCTGCGACCGGGCCCGGCCCACCAGGGGGCCCGGCCGCCCCTGCGACCCGGTATGTACACACAGGGCCAGCCTCTTCCCCTGGGGGGCCCAGGAGCCGGTCACCCCAGGGCCCCCCGAGGCTGGCCCTGCTGACACCGGGCGGGTGGCCGGTCAGGCAGGCGGGCGCGTGAGGGAGCACTCAGTGCTTCCTCTTCAGCTCCCTCGCGCACCGCACTGATACCGGAGCCGGAAGATGACGTCATCTTCCGGCGCCGGCATCCCTACGCGGCGCGCAAGGGAGCTGAAGAGGAAGCACTGAGTGCTCCCTCGCGCGCCCGCCTGCCTGACCGGCCACCCGCCCACAGTGACCTGCCGCCCAGGGAATCCCCCCAGCACTCCAAAAGGTAAGGAGGCTGGGGGGATTAAATTTTAAACAAAAAACTAGTGTTAGTGTTTGAGTGTGTGTGAGTGTTAGAGTGAGTGTTAGTGTGAGTGTTAGTGTGAGTGTTAGTGTGTGTGAGTGTTAGAGTGAGTGTTAGTGTGAGTGTTAGTATGAGTGTTAGTGTGAGTGTTAGAGTGAGTGTTAGTGTGAGTGTGAGTGTTAGTAAGTGTGTGCGCAGTGTTAGTGTGTGTGAGTGTTAGTGTAAGTGTGTGTGAGTGTTAGTGTGTGTGAGTGTTAGTGTGTGTCTGCTAGTGAGTGTTAGTGTGTGTGAGTGTGAGTGTGTGTGTCTGCTAGTGAGTGTCAGTGAATGTGTTACTGTGTGTGTCTTACGGAGTGTGTGTGTTAGTGAGTCTGTTTGATGTCTGTTAGTGAGTGTGTGTTTGTCAATGAGAGTGTATGTTTTGTAAGTGAGTGTGTATGTATGTCTGTCGCTGAGTGTGTCTCTGTCAGTAAATGTGTGTGTCTGTTAGCTAGTGTGTATGCGCCTGTAAGTGAGAGTGTGTGTGTCTTCAGCACTTACCTTTCTCCAGCGCCGGACTCCCTTGGCGCTGGGGATCCCTCAGCCTCTCAGCCCTAACATGCACCACGCGACGAGGCTCAGTCAGCCTATAGAAAGCATTACCAATGCTTCCTATGGACGCTTCAGTGTGCCTCTAGCTGCTGTCGCAGAGACAGCCGTCAGAGGCTGGATTACCTCAGTGGCACGCAGCGTGCTCTCCGGAAACCGCTGGCGTTTCAGCTGCAGGGTTAAAACTAGAGGGACCTGACACCCAGACAACTTCATGGAGCTGATGTGATCTGGGTGTCTGTAGTGGTCCTTTAAAGCACCACTATAGTGCCAGGAAAACATACTCGTTTTCCTGGCACTATAGTGCCCTGAGGGTGCCCCCACCCTCAGGGTCCCCCTCCCGCCCGGCTCTGGAAGGGGGAAAAGGGGTAAACTTACCTTTTTTCCAGCGCTGGGCGGAGAGCTCTCCTCCTTCTCTCCTCCTCCTGGGCTGAATGCGCACGCGCGGCAAGAGCTGCGCGCGCATTCAGCCCGTCACATAGGAAAGCATTTACAATGCTTTCCTATGGACGCTTGCGTGCTCTCACTGTGAAAATCACAGTGAGAAGCACGCAAGCGCCTCTAGCGGCTGTCAATGAGATAGCCGCTAGAGGAAATAGGGGAAGGCTTAACCCATTCATAAACATAGCAGTTTCTCTGAAACTGCTATGTTTATGAAAAAATGGGTTAACCCTAGCTGGACCTGGCACCCAGACCACTTCATTAAGCTAAAGTGGTCTGGGTGCCTAGAGTGGTCCTTTAAGTGTGTGTGCATCTGCATGCACTGGTGTACATACCGCGGTCGCAGGGGTCGCAGCCCTGTAACCCCTGTGACCAGGTGCCCACCGCCATGTGTTGCGGCCCGGCCCGCGCGCGGTGGGGGGGGCCCACGGATCAATTTTCGCACCGGGGCCCCATGGGTCATGTGTACGCCACTGAATAAACCATAACTATAAAAACCAACATATTAACCATAACCACTTTCCAAGGCCCCGCCCCCCTCCAAAGCCAGGAACCATAAATATCTCTTCAACCAAATCCACCAAATCCACCCTCCTGTGATGACCAGGAGGGTGACTTATATCACATAATAATGTCACGACATAGGTTCCTGAAATAAAAAAGTGGGAGGGTGGGTGGGAACAGCAGCACAAATATTTTAATATAGCCAACCTTCAGATTTGTCTGGCACAAGCTGAGACAATTAATTTTGGCGCCCTTTAATTTATACCCCTTATTTTCCCTCCAAAATTGTCCTCGCATTGCTATCTACCAATCAGGGCTCATGCCCTGGTCGCGAGCTTGCCGCCTTTTCTGCCAGCGCGAGCTGCCTTGCAATTAACCCTAGCCTGCATTTAACCCCTAGCGCGAGCACTATACTTATCATCCACTTCGCTCCATCAAACCTCATGGGGCTGCTCCTTATGTAGTCCACATGCCTGACATTATTGATGTTGATTGCTGTGACACACACACATACACCTAACATTTTGGTTTTGGTTTTTTCTTGGGAACTCTGCTTTGGAGACCTGCAACACAACTATGAGTAATGTTCTGGAGGTCTATGATACACAAAGGAGTTTAAACCAAGGAGGTAAATAATGTTTAATTTTTCAGGACTTGTGGCATTTTATAACTGTGATAATGGGTGTTAGCAAGATTGATGATTTTACTCCGTCCAGGGTCCATACCTCTTTGGCAGGTGTGAGTGAGGGGCTTCTCTGGAAGCTCACGTTAGAGATCTGGAGAAGCAAATTGCAGCATTGAGAGATATTGACAATCTTGAAAGGGATCTGCTGCTCATTGAGCAGAGTTTAATGGGGACATGTAGTGGAGTGGGAGGAGATAAAACAGCTGTGGACCAGGCATGTAGCTGGGTAACATTACCAGTTTGCCATCTCCTGGGTGGTGGTGTCCAGCATGTTGCTGACAGAGTGGATAAAAAATTGTGATTGGTTGAGTATGTCCCAGCTGTCATTTTCCATATTGATACCAATAACAAAGTCAATGGAAAATGGAAGATCCTTTAGAATCAATTAAGGGAATTAGGAAGTAAACTTAAGAAAAGGATCTTTTTTAGAAAGATATATAAGAAAAGGCAGCGAGAGATTAGGGAGGTTAACGCTTGTCTAAAGTCATGGTGTAGAAGGAGGGTTTGGGCTTTTTATAGCACTGGAACAATTTTGCTCTTGGTTACAATCTTTATAGCTGTGATGGATTGCACATAAATGGAAGAGGTTCTGCTCTACTGGGGGCCAAGATGGCTAGAAGGTTGGAGAAGATTTTAAACTAGTGGTAAGGTGGGATAGACACATAAATCTACAAAATGGAGATAGGACAGAAAGGAGGTGGGCTTTAATTAAGCACAATGGGGTGGAGATTGGGGGAGGGGCAAGATCGGAACAGAGGAGGTATGTAATAGTAAAAAAAAATGCACATAAAGTAGAAGTGATTCATTATTATATTAAATGTATCTTACTAATGCAAGGACCCTAAATAACAAAATGGAGGAACTGCAAGCAATAGCGTATACTAAGCAATATGACATATTAGGCATAACAGAAACACAGTGGGATGAGACACATGACTGGGCAGTGAACTTAAATGGGTACACACTATTTAGGAAGGATAAGAAAAACAAGAAAGGTGGTGGGATATGTTTATATGTCAACCATGAGTTAAAGTCAAATCTTAAGCAAGTGGAATGTGACAAGCAAAATGTGGCAGCTTTACAGGTAGATATCTGCTTAAGGCAAAAGAAGGGAAATTAATTATTGGTTGGATATGTTATAAACCACCTAATGTTAATATTGATGAAGAAGAACTGCTGTTAGAGGAAATAGGGAAAGTTTATTGGAGATTTTAATCACATACATTGTGATACAGGGGCTATGAGTTCAGCAAGGGGGGGTCAGATTTTTGAACATGTTAAGTGACACCTTCATGTCACAACTGCTACAAGCACCAACTACAAAGGATGCTTGTCTGGATCTGGCTATAACAAACATTGTTAATCTTTTGACCAACATTCAATCAGGGGAGCACTTGGGAAGTAGTGATCACAACATGGTGGGTGTCTTTTAAAATAAACTTAAAAAATGCAGAAGCACATGGGGTATACTAAAACATATAATTTAAAAAAGACACATTTCAATAAGGGCAGCTTTACAATATAGTGATTGGCATCAACTATTTAGTAAAAAAGCGGAGGATAGATGGAATAGCTTCAAATATTAGAAAGGTAAATTTCTCAGTATTATTACATTTATATAGTGCCAACAAATTCCGTAGCGCTTTACAATGGGTGAACCATTGTATGTATGTACCATTGGATAATAAATTTCAAAGAAACACATTAAAACCAATGTCGCATAGTGGGAAAGTAAACCAGGGGATTACAAATA